ACATCTGCCTTCCTGTTCCCTTCCGCCACCTCAGACGTCCCCTTTTGGTGCCCTGGGCAACTTCTTTGGGGGCATGTATGGCCTCTGCTGTCAGTGTAGATGTTGACTCTTCAGCCAACCTGAGGGCTTGTGTTCTGCCTTCTGTGCTGAGGTGCCTTCTGGCAGACTGCTAGACCAGATTACCTCATCCGTGCTGACTACCGCGGTTCCTGCCCTCCTCTTCCTGTCCGAGAGGTAGCTGCTGCCATCTGTGAACCAAGTGAGGGGGGGACCCGGGTAGGGGTGTGTCTCTGAGATCCCGCCTGGCCCCCGTTTCTTCAGCCAATATCTTCTGACAGGAATGCAGAATCTCTCTCTTTTCCAAGTCTGCTTCTGGTAGCAGAGAGGCAGGATTCAATGTCACGGGGCCCCCGAATTGGACTCTCCCCTCGTCCAACAAGAGACTTTGGTCACAAGGAAAGAGTGGGTGACCGTCCCAGTCCCAAGATCTACAGTCCGGTTAGTCATCCACGGGTATTGCTCATTACCGGTGGCCCCAATGACCCAAGAAGTTTTCTTAGATATCGGCCCCAAGGGAGCTTTTATTGTGCTCCTGTGTCCACCAGAAATTCTACTGGTTTCCCCTCCACTTGGATGGTTACCCTGGGCTCAGGGAGGGGTTCCGAGCCCCGTCCCCCTCAGTCACTGTCCTCATGAAAGGCCAAAATGGTCTTGGCTTCCTTCTCCTTCCTCTGCCTTCTTGGGCATTCTCTCTTCCAGTGTCCTTTTTCTTTACAGTAGGCACATTGATCTCGGTCGAGTGGGAGGCGATCGCCCAGGTTCATCTGTCTACCCTTACCTCTCCCTTCTGGCTTTTTATCACCTACCACTGCTGCCAAGATGCGCGTGAGATTCTTCTCCTGTCTACACCTTCTCTGCCTCCTTAACTAAGTCCTGCAAAGTATAAAGCAGATTGGCCAATAAAGGCCATAGCCACCGAAGCCCGCTGCCCCTCGGTCGCAGGGTACCGCCTGAATGCTTCCATTAGTCGCTCAAGAAAGACCGAGGGAGGCTCCGTGGGTCCCTGAAGGACATCCCTTACCTTAGCCAAATTGGTGGGCCGACGCGCGGCTCCTCTGAGGCCGGCCACTAGAATCTGGAGATAGACTGTCAGTCGCTCCCTACCTTCTCATCACATGTACAACTTTTATAAAAACTTTCACTATTTTACATTAGCTCTTAAACCTTCTTCCTATGTCCTTCAAAAATCTATAACCATTATTTTAGAATATTTAGGAAAGGCAGAGGGAAGAGAGAGCAGGTCTAGCACTCTGTTCCCAATAGCCGCTTGAATTTTAAACTGCCACATTCTTCCTACAGATAAAGATCTCAGATTCTGATAAGACTGAAAAGGGGCACAGGAGAATTTTAACTGTGCCTTTAAATCCCCTAATAGAACACGGTGAAAAGTGTCCAAGCAGTTACGGGGGGTTAAACCACGTTTTCACATTGTTTTAACACAATTCTAAATAAATTATAAACCTTTGTGATGAAGTCTACTTAAGCCTATAAAGTAGATACACATGACTGAAACCAAAAATGATTCCCAAAGTTTAAACAACCGAATGTACAAAATACAAGATGCAGGTACAAGCCCAAATTGACAACAATGGCATATGAAAAAAGCAAAACAAAACAAATCAAATACAAAAGTTTCATGTTACATTAAACATTACTTCAGAAAACCCGACTTAGAATAATTTCTTAAGTGTAAGCATTACATACTTTTTCATCTGACAAATGAGAATCATTACTGCTTATTCTAAACATATATAATACAGTTTAGCCTGCCATATTCTAGGCATCTAGTTACTGCAATTAACTTTTCCTAATTCAATTTATACTTTGAACTTTTAAAGCTGGCAAGTTCAAACAAAGCACTGAATAATCTCTTTGTAAGAGAACTAATAGTCTTTTGCTCTCCGGCCTCCCCTAGACCTCTCCACACCAGAGGTAGTTTACTAGGATTTAAGACAATGTCAGAAAATCATACTTAAGTAGCTACAATATAAGACTCTGCTTAGCTGGTATCAATGACAAAAACTAAACATTGTAAGCAAGGCCATGGAATTACCTGCCACCCTCTGCAGATCACATTAGCATTCAAATGCAGCTGCACACATTCTTTAGCTGAAGACTCCTAGCCTTTACCGTTATCGTTATCAACGAGGTAGTTTCCGCCTCATGGTGGGGAATTTCAAAAGCTGCTTACAATGACTTGGGAAACCAGTTTTTAATTTATCTGCTGCCTCCAGCTACTCAACTCCTGGAGGTGAATGGAGGCAGGGAGCAAACGGGTCCCAGGTGACGAAGGCGGTGCTGCCACCAGAGCACTCAGCTTTAAACAAATTAAAGGTTTCTTTCTTTCTCTCTGCTCGCCTGTGGCCGGGCGAGTAAGATGGACCTGGGAGGTCTCTTTCCCAATTTTCCTTTGTCAAGGAGACAACCACACTCCTTCAATCATTTGGGGTTATCAAAAAGAACATCAATCCAGATATCAGTGTATGGAATTTGGTCCGGATGCCCAGGGCTCCTATAGACTATCCGCCGGACTCCCGTGTAGGGCCCCATGTCTAGGGTCCCTGTTGAAGGCCAATCAACCCCAAATGTCGGCCACTCCAATTCACAGTCTCCGGAGAGTGAAGGCATCTACCGAAACACCATAGCCTTCACCTCGTTTTTTGAAGTCCGGAAAATTTTTAACCATGCATTCAAGGGGACTTAGGTGACTCTCCTTTGAGTTTCCTTGCCCCATTTTTCTCTTTCTTCCCAATTTGTTAGGCAACAAATAATTCCAAAACAAATCCAAAAGAGTAAAAACAAAAACACTGCACTTTTACCAATTCCCACACACTCGATTGCGGCCGCACTCTCTCAACACTCACAAAACACTCACTCAGACCAGAACCAGGGAATCTCCAGACTCCAAACCCAGACAGAGCCAAGGAGTCTCCACTTGAATCTCTTCCACAAACACACGATTGGGGCAGACGGTCGCGGCTGCCTCACTGTCTCAGTAACCAAACCTATCCGATCTTCGCCGGGACTCGAACCCGACACCTGATTGCCGGGACTCGAACCCGACACCTGATTGCCGGGACTCGAACCCGACACCTGATTGCCGGGACTCGAACCCGACACCTGATTGCCGGGACTCGAACCCGACACCTGATTGCCGGGACTCGAACCCGACACCTGATAGGAGACCGCCAGGCGCCCCTGGCTCTCCTGCACCCTTGGGGCGTCCCCCAGGGTTGCAGCCTGTGGCCCTCCGACACGTCTACCGACCACTGTTCGGCCACTCTCACGAGTTGCCGAACGGCTGCGAACTCAGAACCAGATCAGATTACAGAAGTGCACACACAGAACCAGATCAGATAACAGAACACAAGACAAAGACAGACAACTTCGGGGTACCCCTTCTTACCTCCAAGATCGGTTCTGGGCTTGAGGGGGGGGCCGCTCGATCCCGGACGAGCCCCCAGAATGTAAGGCCTGAAAGACCCCCGGTCCAAAGGATGAGCGGCGACCCCAAATCAAACGCAGAGCCCGAGTCTTGATGCAAAGAGCAGGAGGTTTATTCCAAGCGCTGCGCAGGGACCCACAAGCAGCAGTCCAGAAAAAGACTGCCGCTTGAGAGCCCTGAACAGAGGTTAGTTACAAGCTTTTATAGGCAGAAACCACACGCAGGTGGCCTGGGGAAATTGGCCTGGGGAAATTGGCAAATTGGCCTGGGGAAATGCAAACATAAGGTTGAGATTGCAATTTCTTGGCCGTTTCCTGGGCAGTTAGAAACAGGCCTGACCTTACAACAACAACCAACAAGAGGGCACCCAACAACATTTCAACTTAAAACCAGACTTAGGAGAGGTCCACTTCTCTCTCGCCTTTACAAAAGCACAGAAATTTGCCCATGAGGCCTCTTCTCCCAGACCCGATGCCGCCACGCCGGCCCAGGCCCCCAGAGCTAGGTTGCTGCCACCGCTGCCGCCCCAGCCACGCTGCTCTGGCGGCCCTCTGAGGAGGCAGGGAGGGAGCCCGGGTCACCCCTTCTCCAGGCAGCCAGCAAAATTAACCCAGGTGCCTGGCCCCCGAGCGAGACCGTTGCTACCCAGCTGCGCTCTGATGCACAGACCGAGCTCCGCGGAAGCCCCTCTCTGACCCAACGCTGCCAGGGTCCTCGCACCACCACACCGGCCACACTTTGCCGGCTCCATCCTGGGGCGCCTCGCTGCCTGCCGACACCAAAATCAGACCTGGGAAAGTCTCCTGTCACTTACCTGCATGTGAGGCATGGACTCACGCTGCTTGCCTCGTTGTGGGAGAGGTTTCCATCCCTCTCCCGCATGTGAGGGGCCCTCTAGGAGAGGATTCCACATCTCTCCTGCCTGTGAGGGGCCCTCCCAGGAGGTCGGAACGTCTTCTGAATCCTCCGGCCCGTGGTCTTAATGGCGCGTCTGCCAGACGTATTCGGGCTCCAACGACACGAGGGGTTCCTGTGTCCCTCCAGAGTGCTCATACAAGGACACAGACACGCACACACTTACCGCGGCCAGTCAGGCTCTCCCGATTGGAGGCCCTCATGGTCCTGGGGATCCCGGATGAGCCCCCATATGTTACGCCCAGACTTCCTGATCCCCAAGGACCACCAGGGAGCCAAGTCTGATGCAATAAACAAAAGAGCCTCTTCCATGCTAGCATGGGCTCTGTCCCACTCACGCCGACAGCATGGTGGAAGAGAGCTCCTCATGTTTATTGTACAAAGAATATTCACTTTGTGTATACAATTTGAAATAGAGATCTCATCATACTCATTCATGTCAGTATGAGAATTTTACAGTGGACTTCTTTTTTACATTAGCTTTGAAAATAGTATAACAATTTTGATGATGTTTCTGAAACTCTTCTAAAAGAAATTCTTTCAGTACTTTTGTTTATGTTTATGACTCTTGTTTTTTAAGATCTTAACAGTGAAAGTAGAGGTTGTGATCATCTTGAAGAGGGGAGCAGAAACAAGAATGGTACATGTTCTGATTCAAAAATGGAACCCACTCTGATTTCCAGGAAGAGAAAGAAAAGGCTTAGGAGTAATTCACCTGATTCTCATAATTCTACTTCTTTGTATAAACCAGCAGAACTGACAGTAAGTAGAGGTATTTGGATGGGACATGAAGTAATTTGTGCTATGATAAAAATGAATTTCCCATAGCCAAATGATGTTTTTCTAGTTTATTCTTTTATCATAAGATTTCTCTTTCTATTTTTTTTAATTAAAAAAGGATTTAAATGAAACATTTTTGCATTTAATAGTTATTGAAATAAATTTTAAATATTATGAATGAGTTAAAAAGTTTAAGTTTGCTCCTCCTTTGATTCCACTTGTTACTTAGTACATTGATATACATTTTTTTCAGACATGTTTTATGTTATTTTCTTTTGTTTTAGCCAAATACTATTTGTGCTGTCCATTTAATTGCTTTTTCCCTTGGTCTGTAAAATTATCAGATTTATTTTATCAGTAAAAATTTATTTACTAACTTCTTTAAGCTTCTCTTATCTAGACTTTGTAAGTAAAGAATTATCATATTTAGTGCATATAGTACCTATTTTCAAAGACTTAGTATTGGGTAATAGACCTATATAATAAAAGGCTAATATGCAAACAGACTGAATGGCAGAACGACCAGATGCTATAATGTGCACTGACCACCAGAGGGCAGATGCTCAATGCAGGAGCTGTTCCTTGATGGTCAGTGCATTCCCACAGGGGAAGCACTGTTCAGTCAGAAGCTGGGCTCATGGTTGGTGAGCACAGTGGCTGTGGTGGGACCCTCTCCTGTTTCCACAGAGGCACTAAGGATGTCCCCATGGGCTTCTAGACTGTAAGAGAGCGCAGGCTGGGTTTAGGGCTTCCCTGAGTGCACGAATTTCATGCACCAGGCCTCTAGTAAAAATATAAGAAGATGGCTTTTGCTTCCTTTGATTCACAAGGCATTTCAGGACTTTCAGTAATTTTGAGTTATAATTATAAGCATGATTTGATTTATACAGTAACAGATGTAAAGGCAGTGATTGATTCTCATAATTTTTATATTATCTGATTAAGTTTTTAATTTTTTGCTCTTGTTACTAGCTACTTCTCTACATATAGAGGAGAGAGCATGGCTCTTGAAGATATATAAACATAATGACATATGGCTCTTTACTTTTATAAAATAAAACTTAAAAAGAAATTCTCTCATTCTAAAGTTTACTTAGATCATGGAAGACCATCTGAAGTCCTTGTAAATATGGGAGCCTCACCATCCTATCCTTTTAAAAACTGTTCAGGCATCTGATTAGACAGTATATCTTTATACTTGGGAAACAACTACTGTAGTTGAGTAATGTAGTATAATTGTATAGTTTCCTATCCCTTTATTATAAAAATGATATTATATTTTTACTTTTATATTCTCCTTTAGGAATTTAAACTTAAAAAATTCATTATGCTAGCCTATTTTGAAAAATGCTAATTTTTCTATGCATTTATTTATGTTCAGAAAGAACAAGAAAACGACTCAACAGTATCATCTGAGTTTGAAAAGCTAAATGAAAATCATGATCAAAATCCAAAACTGCTTAAGGAAATTACACCTGAACCTATGGAAAGTGACTTTACTGAACTATCTTCACTTGATAGTCAGGAATTGGCTTTGAGTGCTGCTCCCAAAAGCACTTCTGACTGTTCAGTTACTGAAACTGTTGTTGAGAACTCTGTTTCCACTGATACATTGGGGAATACTACCCAGGTTGAGAAGGATGAGAACAAGATGAACACAATAGAAAAGCCTGTTTTAAGTGAACACAGTGAAGGCAACCAATCACTGATCTCAGCTGAACCAAGTAAGTAACAGGAGGATTATAAAGGTCTTAAATTTTTCTGCTCTACTTAGTTATTTTATTTCTTTTTTTGAACAAATTTGGCTAAAACAATAAGAATTTATGGCATTACTGTGAGATATATTACCTTTAGAAAAAGACTTGGGGTTTTGGGACTTCATGAAGTTTATAATATTGATTTAGATAAAAACAATGGAATAATTGGAAGCAGAAGAAATTTATTTTTTTATTTTTTTTAGATTAGTATACTGTAGTTCATCTCATCAGATTTTAAAAGATTCTTTAATAATCATTATTATTGCATTTGGTTGATGAAGCCAAAGTACACAGAGTTTAGGTGCTATTTAATTATAGTCATTAAATTTTTATTTAATTTTTGAGTATTTGATGTTGTCACATGGTACATAAATGGTTCTAAAGGATATACAATGAATAGTCTTCCACATCTTTCCCTAGTCATCCATTTACCTCTCCTGAAAGCAACTAGTGTGATAGGATTTAAAGTACAAATTAGAGTGATGGTACAATACATTATCAGGACTAGAACTTGTTCCTAAGTTCTCCTCATGGCTTTATATCTGCAGGTAACTGCTAAATAATAGTACTAATTTGGAATTATTGCACATAAGTAGTATAAATCAGATAATGAATGAGTGATAGGCCAATTTCAAAATTTAGAATAAAATTGGATGATTTAATTTAATGGGATTACCAAAGGTATATAGCATTAATTAGAAGTTCTCTTTCTGATAAGTGATTATTGAGACACATTTAAAAAAATAATTTTTCCTTTTTATTTTTATTTTTTCCTTTTTCCTTTTTAGTTGTTGTTTCCAGTGATGAAGAAGGACCCATTGAACATAAAAATTCAGAAATTCTCAAGTTACAATCTAAGCAAGACCATAATGTCACTAAGGAGAATGAGAGTATTTCTGAATCAGCATTGTCAGAACTACCATCGATTACTTGTGAATCGGTACAGGTAATTTATTTCTGCCTTCTGGTAGATAAATAGTGAAATACTCACTTTTGGCTAAAACTATTTTTTGTTTCATCAAGGAAAATATTGTAATAAAAATTATTTTTTTATTTTTTAGGTTAATTTCAGAGAAATATGTATTTATCTTTATTTTGAAGTGAAAGGATTATACCGTTTTTTCTGGCCGTTTATATTATTTATTACTTTAATATACATATTTTTAATGGTTCTCATTAGACATTTAAGAACTTTATTGACACTTTCTAGGGTAAAAGTTTCCAATATTTATCTGGTCTTGCAATACTATAACCACTTGGACTTATTCCTTTCCCTCACGCGCTATTATTATAGAGGAGGAAGCATGGCTTCTGGAGATATACAAACTTGTGTTCAAATCCTGCCTCTGCCATCAGTTTGTTAAGTTCTTTTTTATCTTCCTTCTTACAGAACATAATAAATAATAGTCACTGATGGTTTACTGTCAGCCACTTGTGTTTTTGACATAGCACTTTGAAGAGTCTAGTTCTAAAGAAAGGTTCAAGTCATTTATTGTCAGTGTTTGTCCATATTATGAACCTCTGATTATGTTGTTTTTTAAGAAATGATTATCAGTGGCCACAAGTACAGAATTATGGTAAACTTCTGTTGGTTTGTTTTTAAATAATGTCAGAGGCTGTTTTTCTGTAGAGAGTGATAAAGAATTTGGTCAGTTTTATAAAAACAGTCTGATAGTGTGATTAGTTTCACTAGTATTTCTATTGCATTAAGAATTCTATACAGAGATCACCTCAGCAACTGTGTTCTGAATTTTTGTTAAAATATAACCATTCTTGCCCATTGGGCAATAGCATACTTGATGAGTTGTATTTGTAATTAAAACAGTGTCATTGCTGATAATGAGTCCAAACTTCTAGAATCAGGGGAAGGGAACATCTGGCTAAGGCCAGCAAAATCATTTGGTCTGGCCCTGCCAAGGCATTAAGGGTTTGACCAAATATAGCAGGCTAATTTTTAAGTTGCTAATTTTGGCTTACAAATTATGTTATAAATATCCAAATGGCCCTTGGCAGAAAAATGGTTCCCCATCCCTTTTCTAGATGAATTATAGTTCCAGTGGCAGCATATAAGTTTACAATGCAGTATGAAAGATCATATTATAGGAAAATAACAGGCCCTGGCTGGGTAGCTCAATTGGTTAGAGTGTCGTCCTAATACGCCAAGGTTGTGGGTTCAATCCCTGGTCAGGGCACATACAAGAAGCAAGCAACTAATACATAAACAGGTGGAACAACAAACCTCTCTTCTCTCTATCTTTCTCTCTCTCTCTCACCAATCAATAAATAAAAATTAAAATAACATCTCATGTAGAACTGACAGAATATGATCACAGTCAAATAGCAAAGAATGTGGAGACCTACTAACATCTATAAGGCAGAATCATAACACCTCCACATTCTTGTTTCCAGTTTCAGGTGAAGTTATGAGAAACACGGATTGCTCATTTTTGGGAGGCAGTTAGTCTTTACAGACTGTGATGCCCAATAGTAAATTATTTCTATTCTGTCTTATACAACTGATTCCCTTTTTTACTTAGGGGATAAGAATAGTATAGTAAACAATAAAAGACAAGAATGACAAAACATTCCATTAAGCAGTCATTATGAACTGGGTTAAAAATAATGAGTAATGCCCTAACCGGTTTGGCTCAGTGGATAGAGCATCGGCCTGCGGACTGAAGGGTCCCAGGTTCAGTTCCGGTCAAGAGCATGTACCTTGGTTGTGGGCACATCTCCATTGGGGTGTGCAGGAGGCAGCTGATCCATGTTTCCCTTTAATTAATGTTTTTAACTCTCTACCTCTCTCTCTTCCTCTCTGTAAAAAATCAATAAAAATGTATTAAAAAAATGAGTACTGTGTAAGTTTTAGATGAGGACTAATCATATATTCTGTAGGTAGGTAGAGAGTTAATACACATGCATAATTGCTCTAGTGATAATTTATTTGGTTACTTGTAATGTTAGGCTTAAAGCAAGATAATGTGCAAAGTCAAGGCAAACATGGAGTTGAAAAAGTCGTTTAGGCACAGTGTAGAATTCAGGAGAGGTTGTGAATACTGCTGATACTGCTTTGTCATCTACTGTCATTTAAAAGCAGAGTTCTGTTGTTTGTGTGGACGTGGTATGACTTTTGAAGTTTTAAGCAACTGGTTGGCTATCCTTACACATAGATCATATAGTGAAACATAGATTTCATGAAACTGATGGTGTTTAGGTACTTATATCCCTTTATTGCTCACTAAACTCTCTATAGCTAAGAGTATCAACTTATTTTTGGAAGCAATTTTATGTGGTTGAAATAACCCTTGACTTGGAGATAGAGACTTGAATTTTTCTTAGCTCGGCTTTTCACTTGGGCAAGTCACTTAACCAATCCAAACAGCTATTAACTTAAGTGAAAAAAAAAGAGAGAACTACTTTATGGAATGGTTGTGGGGATGAAAGAGAGTGTATATTTATTTATTTATTTTTAAAATATATTTTATTGATTTTTTTTTTTTTTACAGAGAGGAAGAGAGAGGGATAGCGAGTTAGAAACATCGATGAGAAAGAATCATTGATCAGCTGCCTCTTGCACACCCCCCACTGGGGATGTGCCCGCAACCAAGGTACATGCCCTTGACCGGAATCGAACCTGGGAACTTTCAGTCCGCAGGCCGATGCTCTATCCACTGAGCCAAACCAGTTTGGCAAGAGTGTATATTTAAAAAACTCATTTTAAAATCGCTATATAAATCTTAATTTACTTCTACTGAGTTAACAATGAATAAAGGGAATATTGAGTTTGAAATCATGCCTTTGATATAGAGGAAGATTGATACAGTTCTAATTTTTAGAACTTAGACCTGGAATTAATTTAGGTTTCGACTATTTGGGATAATTTTCTCAAAGTAAATCATGAAGTTTTTAAGAAAAGTAATCCAGGTAATATTTCCTTACAGTAAGATCAGTAAAAAATTTTCCAGTTCCATTAATAGTAATTTAAAGAAGTATCTGACTTTGGAAAAGCATTGTCAACATTTATATGATACTTAAGGTTATAAGAATTTTATAATTTATTCCTTGTTAGGCTTCATCTGAATTATGTCCTGCCAAGGAAAACATTTCCTGTATTATGCCTAGTAATGAGATGGATCTACAACTGGATTTTATATTTACTTCTGTTTATATTGGTAAAATAAAAGGAGCTTCTAAAGGTTGTGTTACAGTAAGTATATCTTGTTTTTTTGTTTTGTTTTTTTAGTTTTGGATGTTAGACAAAGTTTTATATTATCTTCTCTTTTTTTAGTGCAAGTAAAAATAGAACTGAGAATAATTTGACATGGGACAATTTAAATTTGTCATACATACTTTGAGACATGTCTTTAATTGGAGGAGGAGTCCTATAATCACAAGGCAATGTCCTAAAATTATATTTATGATTTGACTACTCTAATGAAAATCGTGTATAGAAACTACATATTAGTATTTTCTGAGCTATAAAATTAGTGATAAATTATATTTTTATTCAGGTTGTTGGGAGCGCAAATAAGGAATATCATTAAGGCTTATATGAAATACTTCCTCTTCCATGAATCTTTTTGTGACTTCTTCTTTCTAATCAGAATTAAGTTCTCCCTTTACTTATAGCACTTTGTTTGTATAGCTATTGTAATATTTATTCTATGTGTTTATAATTGCTTATATTCTTGCCTGAACTGTTCAATTAGACTTTAAGCTTCTTGTGGTAAAGAGCCATGCTTTTATTTTTATTTTTTATCCTTCCATAAATGGCTAAAATCTAAATAGGCCCTATAAACTTTAGTTAAGATGAATTGACTACATCGGATTATAACTCAGGTATTTTCCTACAAGTTTTATTTATGTTTCACTGTGTTAGAAATAGGGCAGGGAATATAAAAATGGTAAGACATGGCTTCTGCTTTCAAGGAATTTATAGTATAACTAGAGGCCTGGTGCATGAAAATTTGTGCACTTAGGGGATGGGGGGTTCCTCAGCCCAGCCTGTGCCCTCATAGTCTGGGACTCCTGGGGGATTGGGCCTAAGCTGGCAGTCAGACATCTCTCAAGTATCTAGGGAGCCCTTGGAGGATGTCCGACTTCGACTAGGTCCACTTTCAGAGAGTGGACCTTAAGTTGCAATCGGACATCGTTAGTGCTGCCAAGGAGGCGGGAGAGGCTTCTGCCACTGCTGCTGCTGCTGTCAGCCTGGCTTGTGGTTGAGCAGAGCTCCCCCTGTGGGAGCACATTGACCACACGAGGGCAGCTTCTGCGTTGAGCGTCTGCCCCCTGGTGATTAGTATGCATCATAGCGCATACGGTATGTATCGTTCCTGGTCATTCTGCCATTAGGGTCAATTTGCATATTACCCTTTTATTCCATAGGATGGAAGCAACAGACACATAAATAGAGACTTAGATTATGGCAAATTGTACAATGAAAATATGTACAAAAAGGCTATATATGGGAATGAGTACCTGAATCTGTCTGGAGGAATCAGTGGCTACTTCACAGAGAAGACAGTGCATGCTTTAAGACATAAAGTAGATGTTTACTTGGTGACAGTGTGGGGTAAAACCTAATCCCAACAGAGTAAACATTCTGTACAAATGCAACATATCCTGTGAACTATAAATAATGATAGCTTGTGATATAGTTAAAAATCGCCTTGATTGAAAGCTCAAGAGCAGTGTTCCCTGGTCACTAGTTTTCAGATATTAATGTTTTAGACACACTTGGGGTGATTTTATAATTCTTCTTCAAGGCATTTCCCCCTCCACTTTTTATTGCTTCCACTGCATTTTACTTTTTTATTTTAAATTCAATATATGATAATTGATATGCTGGAGAGGGAAATCAAATATAAATATTCAACAGTGGATTGTTATTAATTAATGTTTTAATTGTTATTATACAGTCAGGTGGGCTTGTTATGGGTAAAAAATAAAACTAACCAAAAAACTAGAAATGAATAAAGAAATAATTAAAAAAACACCTATGATCTTGTTTATCTAGAGACAACTGCCCCTGATTCTAAATTGTATATCATTCTATATTCTTCATATTAGATATATATTTTTAAAACATACATTCTATTTTGTAACTCACCATACTTAAACTAATGTAATTAATATACCTGTTTTAAGATACTTGGATTCCCTTGTCCTTAATTCTTGACTGTTAGACATTTCAGGTCTCCCAGTGTTTTATTATTTCAAATAGTAGGGGACTGTAAATATTCAATAAATGTCATAAAATATGTCTTAAAAATCTGTTTGGAACACTTATAATTAAAGTAGACAACTTAAATGTCTGATGATAAGAAAGTGGTTTAGTAAATCAAAGCAAATATATACAGGTAAAATATATGCATGTGAGCAAAGACTGAAAATAATTAAAAAATAAAACAGCTATGTTATAATGGAGAGAACATAAACAATTAAAAATTACAAAAATATAATTAAGTTAAAAATTTAAAAAGTCTTAGCTTTGAGTTCTCAAAACACATTTAATAATATGTTCTTTTTTAGACAAAGTTCACAATGCTCTGTAACTTAGAAATTAAATAATTTATTTGGAGGGTGTAAATATATTAGAGAATTAAATTCAGTCATTTTCCAAATGTTTAATGGGTATATATTGTTGCAGACACTGGAGATATTGTTCTCACTTTCATGATACATTTTAGCTGAGCTAGAAAATGCCTATAATGGTAAACTATTACATAAATGAGAGCCATTTTTAAATAATTGGACATTGAAGTTATTATTACTTTTTTTAGTGTAGAGCAGTGACTCGCAACCTTTTTTCATCTTATGACACCTAAACTAATTACTAAAATTATGCAGCACATCAAAAACAATTTTTTGCCTTGCTGACAAAAAAAATAGGTATAATTTTGATTGATTTACAAAAATAATAGTAGTAATTATCTACCCTTTTTGCTCCAAAGTGACTTTTAAAAAAATTGGTGCCTACATTGGAATAGAAGGATTTCCAATAATTAACCAATCAGATACAACATTTTTATGCAACATAACCAATAAGATGCAATTCTATTATACTAGAGGCCCAGTGCATGAAATTCATACGCTGGAGGGGGTTGGTCCCTCAGCCCACATGCACCACCCTCTTGCAGTCCGGGATATCCCTCTTGCAATCCAGGATCCCTCGTTCCTTACTGCCCACCTGCTCACTCCTTACCTCCCACCTGCTCCCTCCTTACCGCTTGGCTCTCTGCTCCTTAGCAGGAGGCTCCTTACTGCTCAGCTAGCTGCTCCTTAGCACTGCCACAGAGGTGGGAGAGGCTCCTGCCACAGCACTTGCCATCGTGAGCCTGGCTTCTGGCTGAGTGGCTACTCCCCCTGTGGGAGCGCTCTGACCATCAGAGGGCAGCTCCTGTGTTGAGTGTCTGCCCCATGGTAGACAGTGTGCATCATAGCGACTAGTTGTTCCGTCCTCATGGTCACTTAGGCTTTTATTATACAGATAACACTAGTGCTCCAGTGCATGGATTGGTGCACATTGAAAGGAAATTAGAAGGTGACCAGTGGGGCGGGACTGAGCAAGACAGACAGACATGTCATAGAGCCCAACTCCTGCTGGTCCCTCCCTGGGTGTTGCACCTGGGGTGGCACCGTGGCTCGATGGTCATCTGTGGAGTTAGTGGGGTCTCTCCGTTAGGTGGAGTCCCTTGGCCTAGCCTCCAGAGATCAGACCGATTCCGGCTCTCCGACATCCCCTTAGGGGTCCCGGAAAACGAGAGGGTACTCTGCAAAGTTGCTGTAGCTTGGCAGCTCCTGCGTTGAGCATCTGCCTCCTGGTGCGTATTGTACCTACTGGATGCTCATATGGCCAGACAGTCAGATGGTTGCTTAGCCTTTTATATATATTGATATATATTTATGGTTCAAGATAGGGCATTCACATTGCATGGCTATTGTGCTGGCTATTGTAATTTTTTAATTTGACAATGTAAAGGAAAAAGAGATCTAAATAGTCAGTATTGAATGTTTTAAAAATTCTTATGGCACATCAGTTGAAAATCGCTAGTGTAGAGAATTCTGCAATAGATGTGAACATTTTGTGTTTAGGGCTCAACTTTGTTGATAGCAGGAAAATGTTTATTAAGTACTGTTATGTTCAGAGAACTCTATTGGCTATTGTAACAAGTTATAAAAATAGCATTCATGTTCAGCCTTTTTTCTTAAGTTAGATAGATGTGAAATGATTTCAGAGAACTGGGTTTACCTTATTGCCACAAAAACATCATTTTTTTTCCCCTCTCACAAGATTATTTTTCTCATTTTCTTAACTGGAAATTAAATTTTTGCTAGGAATAGGGCTTTGCTTTTCAGAGGTTACATGATGGCTTAATCATCATACAATTGTATAAGTGAGTATCAAATTCTTGCCAAAATGAAAGGTTTGATAGGACAAGAATACTTACAGTGAAAGAATGAGAGAATAACATAGAAAGCAGAGGCCAAAGATACATAGATGCACTATTACTAGTTCATAATTTTGTAGTAATGACTATCAAATTTTAAAAGCATTGCTCTTATATATTCATTTTCTATCACCAGTTATTTTCATTTGCTAAGATATTTTTTATGAGATTAAAGACCCAGTGAAACATGTCAGAAAGAATTTGGCAGTGGAAAATACATGTCAAATATACATGGTGTTTCCCAAAAGTGTATACACACATTGAGTGTAATTAATACACACATTGAGTGTTTATTAAAATACATTTCAGTTTCATTTAACAGCTGTCAGCTGTTAAAGTGTGTATATATTTTTGGGGACACCCTGTATGTAGCAGTTGTGTGAAAGTGAGAATAATAAGCTGAATATGACTAAATTAAATTAGATAATGTGCTTATTAATCGGATGCTAGTATCTAATAATAATAGTTCCCCTTGATTAAGGGAATTATCTAAAGCTGAGAGAAGTTAATAAGTTACTTAAGTATCACTTGTTATTTGTTTTAGTAGAGATAATAGAGGAAGGATTTGAACCCAAAGATCAGCTTTTAATTCATGTGCCATTTTGCTCGAATTTTGCATTAGTGCCTAACTTACACTATGAAATATGAATTTTATATTTGTGAAACTACAATATGAAATAATTTTTAAATTGATAAAAGTAATGGAGTCACAGTAAATCTGAGATTTCACTTAACATTGTTTCTTATTTATTTGGAACTCTGTTGACAGTTAATTTAGGTACCCATGTACCAAGACCATGATTTTGTTTTGTGCTCACAGACTGTACCCTTGATTTGGTCAACAATTTTATAAATGTATTTGTTGCTCAGAAGCGAAACTTAACTAATGAATAAATAAATAAGCATGAATTCATTTGGCATTAATAGAAAAACAAATGTAAAAGCACAAGCCTATTTTAGATGGTACATATAAGATTTAGGTGCTATACAACCCTTGAAAGTTTATCATAAAAGCAATGTTTAAGGAGGTCAGATATATAGATGAGGTACCTAGAGAAAATTAGTGTCCTGGTAGAAGGAGCAGAAAGAGCAAGAACCTTGCTGAGTCCTTAGTTGGAAGGGAATTTGTATGGAACAAGGAAAGATGAATGCTGGGAATGTCAACAAAGCCAAAAATTACACTCTGTTTTGTGATTGGTTTATTTACTAGTCAGTGACACCTTATTTACCAAGTCAGTGACATCTTTTGGCAGTTTCTTTTGAATTGTCTTATTCTTTAAAAATTCAGGAAACATTTTTGAAAAATATACTAAGTTTTACCCGCTTTTTAAAATGAACACATTGAGATTTAAATTATTTACACAGGGTTCTTTTTTATTTAATTTATTAAGGTGACATCCTATCTAATGAAGAAGGAATATGCAAATTGACTGTCACACCATCACAAAGATGGTGGTGTCCATAGCCACAGGATGGTGGTGCCCCGTCTCCTCAGCTCAGCTGGAGTCCCCCTGTCCTTTCAGCTCCATGGGGGAGGGTGGGTGGTAGGCACACTATGTGGCCTGACCTGCCCTCAGCTCCCCAGCTGCCCAGGGCCAGCCAGAGGCGCAGGCAATCCTCAGATGTCAGCTGCTCAGGTGCCCAGGGCTGGCCTGAGGTATAGGGAAGCCTTGGATAGCAGCTTCCCAGCTACCCAGGGCCACTCAAGGCTCAGGTAACTAGGGCTGGCCAAGGCTTGCGCTGCAGGCAGTGGCAGCAACAGAGGTGTGATGGGGCATCGCCTTCCCTTGATCACCTCATTGCTTCCTGCCCCTGAGGGCTCCTGGACTGTGAGAGGGAAAGGCCAGGATGAGGGATCCCCCACTCCATTGCATGAACTTTCATAGGGATCCTCTAGTCTCCTGTTGGATCTCTGTATGTAGGCTTCAGGGGTATTATTCTATAATCCCCTATATTGTGTGTTCACCCAAGTCAAGTCTTCCATTACCATTTATTTCCCTTTAACCTCTCCTGCCTTTCCCCTCCCGTCCCCCTTTTCCTCTGTTATCTGTCTGTGAGGTATTTATTTGTTTGTTTAATCCCTTCACCTTTTTCACTCAGTCCTCTACCAAGTCCTCTACCCCCTCTTCTCTTTCTGCTGTCATTCTATTCTCTGTATCTATGAGTCTGTTTTATTTATTTTTTGTTAGTTATTTTTGTTGATTAGATTCTACATATACTAGTAAGTGAAATCATATGATACTTGTCTTTCTCTGACTGGCTTATTTCACTTAGCATAATACTCTCCAGGTCCATCCATGTTGTTGCAAAAGGTAGAATTTCCTTCCTTCCTTTTTTTTTTTTTTTTTTTTTTTTTTTTTTAAATAGCTGAGTAGTATTCCATTGTGTACCAGAGCTCTTTATCCATTCATCTGCTGTTTGATACTTGGGATGCTTCCAAATCTGGGCTATCCTATTTAATGAAGAGCTAATATGCTAATTAGATCAAACAGAACTATAGTCCTCTGGATGATCTTCTGGACGAAGCCAGGGCTGCAAGGGCCGAGTCCCTTGCACGAATTTTGTGCATCGGGCCTCTAGTTATAAATAATGCTTGTTCAGGATTCTTAAATTTTCATAAAACTAAGTATTTACAGTGAAACATTCTTGGTTTATTGATAAAAAGGCTGGAGTACTTTTTTTAGTATAGAGTTTGAATTTTGAAAATAAAATTTGAAAATTTGAATAACAGCAACATTTTAAGTGTAACTCAGTTTTTGTATTTTTCCTGTAGTTCACGCCGAAGTATGTTAAGATCCCATTTCAAGGTAAGCTATCATTGTCTTATGACCACTTTTCAATGTAATTTGTAGTATAAAATAATTGGTCAGCAAAAATTCTGAAATCTTTCTGCAACAAGTTTTCCTTTTTTCCCTTGGTATAGAATTTAAATATAACCAAGGTTAATAATGTTTTTCAACATAACACTTTTTTTTCTTTTCTTTTCTTTTTTTAGCAGCTTCAAAAGGAGTTAAAATGTTTTTAAAATACTGAAAATAGTATACTATTGTTTTAATGACATCAACTAAAGTAATATTAAGGGACTCATGATAATTTCTTAGGCTTAACAGAAATGATTTTTTTTGTTTTGTTCTGTTTTAGCTTTGATTTATTTATTTTTCTTTTTTAAATTAAATCTTTATTGTTCAGATTATTACAGTTGTTCCTCTTTTTTACCCCCATAGCTCCCCTCCACCCGATTCTCACCCCACCTCTTATATTTACCTCCTTTCCATGATCCTCATCCACAGGTGTAATGATTTTTGTTCAGTCTCTTCCCACACCCCCCACTCTTCTTTCCACCCACAGATTGTCAGCCCACTCCTTTTCTATGCCCCTGATTTTATTATATTCACCAGATTATTCTGCTCATCATATTTTTCATTCACTTGATTTTTAGATTCATTTGTTGATAGATATGTATTTGTTCAATATTTTAATCTTTACCTTTTTCTTTTTCTTCCTCTTCTTAAAGAATACCTTCCAGCATTTCATATAATACTGGTTTGGCAGCGATGAACTCCTTTAGCTTTTTCTTATCTGTGAAGCTCTTTAACTGACCTTCAATTCTGAATGATAGCTTTTGCTGGGTAGAGTAATCTTGGTTGTAGGTTCTCGCTATTCATCACTTTGAATATTTCTTGCCACTCCCTTCTGGCCTGCATAGTTTCTGTTGAGAAATCAGCTGACAATCATATTGCTCCCTTGTAGGTAATTAACTGTTTTTCTCTTGCTGCTTTTAATATTCTCTCTTTGTCTTTTCTCTTGGCATTTTAATTATGATGTGTCTTGGTGTGGTCCTCTTTGGATTCCTTTTGTTTGGGGTTCTCTGTGCTTCCTGGACTTGTAAGTCTGTTTTTTTCACCAGATGGGGGAAATTTTCGGTCATTATTTTTTCAAATAGTTTTCCGTATCTTGCTATCTCTCTTCTTCTGGCACCCCCATAATTTGAATGTTGGTACCAGAGGCTCCTTACACTATCTTCATATTTTTGGATTATTTTTTGTTTTTGCTTTTCCAGTTGAGTATTTTTTGCTTCTTTGTATTTCAAATCTTTGACTTGATTCTTGGGATCCTCTAGTCTCTTGTTGGAACTCTGTATATTATTTTTTATTTCAGTCAGTGTATGCTTAATTTCTAGTTGGTCCTTTTTCATATCCTCAAGGATCTCACTAAATTTATCGACCTTTTATAGAAAATTCTTGAAAAACCTTATAACTGTGGTTTTGAACTCTATATCCAGTATTTTGCTTTTCTCCATTTCTTTCATTTGTGACCTGTTTATTTGTCTCTGCATTTTGGCTGCTTCCCTGAGTTGATAGAGTGGCTTTGTGTGCTAGGTGTCCTATAGGGCCCAGTGGTTCAGCCTCCCCAGTTACCTGAGGTGGACACTCTTGGTGCACCCCTTTGTGGGCTGTCTGCACAGTCTTGTAGTTAAGCTTTGATTGTTCTAGGTATCACTGGGAGGAATTGACCTCCAGGCTAATTGGCTGTGAGGATCAGCTGTGTCTATGATGGGAGAACTTCTGTGCTGGAGACACCCTTATGAGGCAAGACTTGCTTCAGTGGGGCTTTGGTGCTCACTGAGTCTGCCCCCTGAGTTTGTTCCTTATGGATCTGAGGAGTTGTAATATGGATGGTTCTACTCTGACCCCTGGTTACACTGGCTCTTGGATCTCCAAGGAGGTGCTAATTTAGCCTCTGCTTGAGGCCTCCCAGCAGGAGCTATGGAGAGATCTGCAGATTCCTCTTCTTTGTTTGGGTTTTGGAGGTGCCCAGATGAGGCCCAGCTGTGAAGCAATGGAAGCTGCTGAAGGGGTCTTGGGTCTTCTTTTGGTTGTTCTGGTCTCCCTGACCCAGCTGCAGTTTGTTAGGTAAGTTTAGGTTAAGGTGCCAGATCGTCCCGCTTTTGGCGAGACAGTCCGGATTCTTAACAATTTTTCCCACGTCCCACAGCATTTTAAAAAAAGTCCCGATTTTTGGAAAGAATCTTTCCAATCTTTCCAAAAATCTGGACTTTTTTAAAATGCCGCAGGGGCGTGGGAAAAATTGTTAGAAATCGGGACTTTCTGCCCAAAGCAGGACGATCTGGTCACCTTAGTTTAGATTTCAAAGGACCAGGCCATTCATATACAAAAGCCTCTGCGCACAGCTTGGATAGGACAGAGTCTCAGGGCGGAGCAAACAGCAATGCTTCCCATCAGCCCTGCCCTAAGAGGCCCCCAGGTCTCATTGTCCCTCTGTAATTGCTGCAAATAACACTGACAGAAAGCTGCCCTTTAGTTCCGCCAGCTGCCAGACAGTCCATTTTCTTCTCGTATGAGTCTGGGTTCCCAGGTTCTGACCTGGAACTGGAGTTCAGAGCATTTGGGAGCTTGTGTTTCCCTGTGGATTGAAAAAGCCAGCTATGTACTTAGTTGCCAGCCTTCTCCACACGCACACCTCTGTACCTCTGCACTTTATCATATGATCCGATAATCCTTCTGGGTATATATCCAAGGAAAATGCAAACAGTATTTAAAGAGATATGTAAACCCCGTGTTTATTGGAGTATTATTCACAGTAGCAAAGTATAGGAAACTCAAAGTGTCTATCAACGGATAGGTAAAGATGTATTGTGTGTACACACACACACACACACACACACACACAAATTTTCAGCCATGAGAAACAAGGGCAACATGGATGGACCTTGAAGGTATTATGATAAGCGAGATAAACTAAATAGTGCATGATATTGCTTCTATATGAACTCTAGTAAAGCTGACTTCACAGAAACAGAGATTAGAATGGTGGTTACCAGGACAGAGGCTGGGATGGTGACTGGGAGAAATGGGGAAATGTTGGTTAGAGTAAAAACTCAATTCAAAGATGAATAAGTTATGGAGGTCTAATATACAGATTGGTTATTATAGCTAATAATACTGTATATATACTTGAAAGTAGCTAAGAGATTAGATCTTACATGCTCTCAGCACAAAAATTAAGTGGTAATTATGTGATGTAATGGTGGTGTTAGCTAACATTAGGGGGGTAATTGCAATGCAGTAAATAAGTATCAAATCAACATGATTTATACCTAAACTCATAGTGTTATATGTCAATTATATCTTAACTAGAGACCTGGTGCATGAAAATTCATGCATTTGGGAGGTCTCTCAGCCTGGCCTGCACTCTCTCACTATTCAGGACCCCTCGGAGAGGGTCCCTAGGCCTTGCCTGAGGTCAGGGCATATCGGGGCTTTCATTCCCCCAGCTGCAGGCAACTGGCCCTACCCCCGCTGCTGCCACTGCTTGCTATCTGTGCAGCGCTGCCCCACCCCTCCCCTGCCACCGGTGGCCTTCCTCTGCAGGTGATAGGCTGGTATGCAATGGCTTGGCTGGTCTAGGTCTCCCTCTTTCTTTGATGGGGGGGCGGGCAACCCTGTGAGGGGCCATCTGCCTACCTGTTTGCCCCTAACTACTAATCTGCCTACCTGATCACCCCTAACCATTCTGCCTGCCTGCCTAATTGCTCCTGTTTGCTTGGGGGTGGAGTCAACTTGATCACTCCTAACCACTTGCCTGCTGATTGCCCCTAACCACTTGCTTGGGGGCAGGGCCCAGAGAAGGGCCATGGTGGTTCTGGTCTCTGGTTATTCTGCTCATTATGCTTATGGTGGCTGATTTTTATTACAAAGGATAAGCTGGAAAAAAAATTTGAGTCAGTATTAAAAAATACAGTAAAGTAAAGAAGGATAGCTAGAGAGAGAGGGAGAGAGAGAGTGAGAGAGAAAGAGAGAGGACTTTAAAAGGTGTAAGCCAATATGAAAGACTATACAAAGTAATTAGGAAGAGAACAAAAGGGAAAGAGATGAAAATAACAATTAAAAAAAATAAGAACCAGTAAAAAAAAGAAAGAAAAAAAAAAAGGAAGAAAGATAAAGAAGGAGGGAAGGAGGAAGAAAGGAATGGGAGAGGGAGAGAAGAAGGGAGAGAGAGAGAGATACAGAGTGAAGGAAAAGAGGGAAGAAGGAATGAAATCAGGAAGGAAACAGGGAAGAAAAGGCAGGCAGGCTAGGAATAGAGAAAGAAAAAGACAGGGAACAAAATGGAGTGAGGAAAGATTGAAAAAGGCTATAAAAGAAGGAAGGGGAAGATACAAAGGACAGACATGAGAGGAAAGAAGTTTAAATAGAGCGATGAGTCAGTAGGGAAGAGTAAAACATAAAAGAAGGGAAAGAAAATGTGAGCGTGAGAGACAGGCTTTGAAAAGGAGGAACTAGTAAGAAAATTAAGTGCAATTTTGGACAGTGGGGAAAGAAATCTAAAAAGTCAGTTAAAATATTACAGTAAAATATAAGATGAATGAATGATAGATACAAAGGTTAGGTAGGTAGGAATATAAAATATAGAGAGCCATAGATAGGTAATTGATAGTCTATGGAAAGGAGCCAATAAATAGTAAAGGGAAGAGGGGAGATAGGGTAAGATGGGACAGGATAAGAGGAGAGAAAAGATAGGCTGGTATGCATGCAGACAGGCCCAGGGGGTAAATAGAAAGAAATGCAGGAAAGGAACAAGAAAAATACATGGAGAAATGGAATAAGGGAAGGAAAGAATGAAAGAAAGGAGTAAATATGAAATAAAGAGATGTTTAAAATGGGTTAACTTAGGAGAAAAAGTAAAAAGAATGGCTGCCAAGGGAACATTAAGATAACTAGTTAATAAGTATTTGAATGCTTATTGTAAAACTTGAGGCCCGGTGCATGAAATTCATGTACAGGTGAGAGGGTATGGTGGTGTCCCTCAACCCAGCCTGCACTCTCTTCAATCTGGGACCCCTCGAGGGATCGGGCCTAAACAGGCAGTCGGACATCCTTCTCACAATCCAGGACTGCTGGCTCCCAACTGCTCACCTGCCTTCCTTCCTGATTGCCCCTAACCGCTTCTGCATATTAGCCTGATCACCCCCTCACCACTCCCATGCCAGCCTGATTTATGTCTAACTGCTCCCCTGCCAGTCTGTTTGCCCCTAACTGCCCTCCTCTGCCGGCCTGGTCACCCCTAACTGCCCTCCCCTGCAGGGCTGATAGCCTTCAACTGCCCTCCCTTGCTTGCCTGGTGCCTCCCAACTGCCCTCCCTGCTGGCCTTTTTGTGGTGGCCATCTTGTTTCCACATGGGGGCAACCGTCTTTGACCACATGGGAGCAGCTATCTTGTGTGTTGGAGTGATGGTCAATCTGCATATTACTCTTATTACATAGGATAGAGGCCTGGTACATGGGTGGGGGCCAGCTGGTTTGCCCTGAAGGGTGTCCTGGATCAGGGTGGAGGTTCCCTGGGGGCATGGGGCAGCCTGGGCGAAGGGCCTGTGGTGGTTTGCAGGCCAGCCACGCCCCCTGGCTACCCAAGTGGAGGCCCTGGTATCTGGGATTTGTGTATCTTCTACAATTGAAACTTTGTAGCTTGGAGCAGAGCCAAGCCTTCTGCTTGCTCCATGGCTGCCGCCATTTCTGTTTGGATTTGCTTACCTTCTGTCATTGAAACTTTGTAGCCTGGAGTGGAGGCTTAGGCTGGTAATGGCAGGTGGAAAGCTTGGCTTCCTCCATTGCCTGGGAAACCCAAGCCTCCCTTCTGCTCTCTGTGGCTGCAGCCATCTTGGTTGGGGTTAATTTGCATACTTGCTCTGGTTGGTGGGTGTGGCTTGTGGGTGTAGTGGAGGTATGGTCAATTGGCATATTACTTTTTTATTAGATAAGATGCTTTCAAACTTTCATGTTCATATGAATCACCTGTTTGTTTTTTTTTGTTAAACTGACAATTCTGATTCAGTAGATCTAGGATGGGGCCTGATTTTCTGTATTTCTGCAGGCTCTCTGGTGATGTCAATGTCAGAGGCCAAGGACTACATCTGAGTGGGAAGGTTCTAAATGATGATGAGGGGAGGAGTGCTAAGAAATTTATTTCAAGTCAGTACCCATCCTGTGTTTATACTTACTTAGCTAATACTTATATTCCTAGTTTAGCTGCTTGTTTTCTTAAAGTTGTATCAGATGACCTTTGGGACTTCGTTATATCAATTTATATATTTCTTTGAATTTAAAAAAAGGGTCCTCAGAGGGGTTTTTTTTTTAGGACAGCAAGAGGGAGGAAGATTGATAATTCAGAGTGGTTATCTAGAAGTTGTGAGAAGTAAAACCTTCAAGAACTTATAAAGAAATATCATCTTAGACCATTCAGAAGCTCTTATATACTCTTCTTGAGAATCTTTTCATTGTGGCTAATCTGTATAATAGAATTAGACTGCAGATGTTTTGGGAGAAGAAAGAGAGGCATAAATTGGCTTATGATAGCATTTGGAGGCCTGGTTGATAGTATTAACCAAGATAGAAATACATAATTTTCTAAGTTATAGTATGCTTACTTTTCTGCATTACTAAGATAGTCTTTTTTTTTCCTCCTTTTCTTCTTCCCATTTTGCTAGTGCTATTGGAATTCTTAGTAAGAAATCTCTCTGGACAAGTTTTTTTTTATGCTATGGAAATTTAATATTTTACATTCCTGGATATAACTGAGATCATGTAGTGTGAGAGACTAAATTGCTACATTTAATTATTTGGTCTTTTATAACTGTAATGTGGTATTTGTTAATGTAATAATATTGTTTGGGGAATTTCAGCTAAGTCCAGTGCAGTGCACTGTAAATTATGCTTTTGAAAAATAATTATTTTTGAAAATATAGTATACTAGAAGCCTGGTGTGTACCGGTGGGGTCCCTCAGGGTATCCTGTGGGTATGGGCCAAATCCTTCAGTCCAATGCCGCCTGCCGCTCCTGCTTATCCCAGCCCCGCTGGCCTGCCGCTGTCACCGCTGCTTGGTAGGCTTGCTGCTGCTCGCTGTAGTCTCGGGGCTGCAGTGGCCAGCCGTGAGCCCTGCTTCTGGTGCTGAGTGGTGCTCCCGCTATGGGAGTGTACTGACCAATAGGGGCAGCTCTGACGTTGAATGTCTGCCTCCTGGTGGTCAGTACTCATCATAGTGACCATTCAACCAGTCATTGGTTGTTTGGTCATTTGGTCAGTTAGGTTTTTTATATAGTGTATAAGTGTTGTATTCCTAAATAAATTAACTTATTAATTTGTTATATTTTATTTGTTTTAGTGTCCTTGAATGAGGTTTTATTGCTAGTGGATACCACACATTTAAAGAGGTTTGGCTTATGGAAAAGTAAGGATGATGATCACAGTAAAAGGAGTCTTGCTATCCTTTTCCTCTGGGTCTCATCACATTATCTTCAGGACATTCAGACCCAATTAGAAAACTCTATGTTAAGCCAGCAATGTGAGTATAAAATTATTTCTGAGTGTCAGGATAACATGATAAGTCTTGTAAATAAGTAGTTTTCTTCTAAAATAATTTAATAAGATGTAATTTCACTTATTTGAAATTAAGTTCATTGAATTAAAAAAATTATGTTTTAGTATGTAAGATAAATTATTTTATTTATTCACATAATTTCTCCTGATGCGATACTTTTTTCACTTAATCAAATGACATCATTTTCTGAAATAAAAGGAATACCTTATCTTTTAGTTAGTTACCATCTTTGCTACCCTTCTTATGAGTTTCTTGCCCTGATTTCAAAATGAACTATGACTGAGCTAATAAGGGACAAAGTTACATAAAATACAAAAGTATTTAACTTCAACATTTTCTTTAGTTTCTAAAGAGAAACTCAGTTACTTATATATACTTCCTCTAAAACTGGATTGAGTACTTTTCTGTATGCTCCCATTATATATATATTTAAAATTAGTTATTTTGCTATCCTAATTTCAAATTAATTGGAAAGATTTATTATGGCATAGCAGAGAAGTTGGAGAAATATAATTAGCCATTTATAATCATTATTGGGGAAGAGAATGTCATTTGAGACCACTGTTGAAATGATTAAAGAAAATGATATTGGAAAAAAAAAGAAAAGAAAATGATATTTAAGGAAGTGTTTGGAACATTTTAAAAATAAATTTGACATATGGAGGAGGGTAGAGAAAAATAATTAATTGCTTTGTTACCATTCATTCATTTATTTATACATCTAGTAACAAATATTTACTAGACCTCCTAAACACCAGGTCCTGGAAATACAGAGGTCAATATCCTTTGGAGTTTACATTCTAATGCAGTAAGGAGTCTAAAATTGTCAATTTTGGTTCTAGTTACTAATGGCCTATTTTTGGGATTTAATTTGCTTGGATTACTTTGCTAGTGGCTATATAACCAACCTTACTGTTAATAATAGTCAAATTATTTTAATTATAATACCCTTGAAAAATAATGCTATTGATAAAAATTGTGTGTTTTTTTTTAATAGCAAAATCCAGTGAATTCATTTTCCTTGAGCTACACAATCCTATTTCACAAAGAGAAGAATTGAAATTGAAAGATATTATGACAGAAATAAGTACAACCACTGGAGAAGTAGAGCTTTCTTATCCATTGTCTTGGGTTCAGGCATTTCCTTTATTTCAGAACCTTTCTTCGAAAGAAAGCTCTTTTATTCATTATTACTGTGCTTCAACTTGTTCCTTTTTTGCTGCTGCTGCTGAAGAAATAAAGATGCAATCCGTATCTCAGGTTAGCATATGATTAATATAATTGGTGAGGGGGTGGGAGAAGGTTTGGTGAAAATTCTTTTATTGAAATTAGGCCGATTTCAAAATGCTGTTTTGTCTAAAGGGCACAATAGCCAACCTGAAGAACTCCCAGTGCCAAAGCTAGAACAGTTTGATCAGCAAACTCAATAATGATAGTGTGTCATTATAACTAAAGAATAACATGAATACCAAAAAATCTATATTGGTATAAATAAATAACTGAATTAATGAATGAATACATAAATAATAAATGATGGATAAGGGACACGTCTTTCTTAGAAAAGTATTCCAATTAATAAATATAAAGAATGAGAGAAGTATAAAACTACCATTAGAAAAATCATAGTTTGATTGGGTGCTAAAGTTAATGGGTAAAAATTTAAGGAGAAACAGGATATGTGCTTAATCTCAAAATCTCTTCCCCAATATGTTTTAGTAACAGTAGAGAATACTGGCAAGTGATCCGAGTTAACACCACCAGTAATAAGACATTCTGACATAACAACTGTTGCATCATCCACCGAGAAGGGTATACCACTTCTGTGGTATTCTTCCAATATTGTATAATTTCAATCTAATCATGAGAAAAAACCCAGAGAAACCTGGTTGCAAAATAACTGGTTGATACTCTTTAAAAATACCAAGGTTATGAAAGATAAGGGAAGATTGAAGCATTGTAAGGTCCTGAAACAGGAATAAGATAATAGTGGAAAAACTTGTTGAAATCAGAATAAAGTCTGTAGTTTACTGTATAATATTATACCAGGGTTAATGTTTTAGTTTTGATAATTGTACTATCCTATGTAATAAAAATGTAATATGCAAATGGTTGTCACGCCGTGAAGTGTAATGACCGACCATGTAATGACCAGATCACTGATCAGCAGGAGGGTAGGGCAGCGAGCTACAAGTGGGCAGCAGCGAGCTACAGGAGGGGCCAGGGAGAGGAGCTGAGGGGAGGGCGATGGGGGAGCTATAGGAGGCGGGGCATCGTATGGAGAGCTACTGGCGCATGGATTTGTACGCAGGGCTACTAGTGGTTATATAAGATGTTAATATTACTGGAATCTGGGAGAGGCTTGTATTCTGCAACTCTTCTGTAAGTCTAAAATTACCTTGAAACAATTCATAGTAAGTTTAAATATGCTCTTTAAAAAAACAAAACACAAAACGAAAAAACCTCTAGAGAGAAAAGTGTTTATTAAGTTTGTTGTGGAGCATGCATGTGCATGTCTATCTACACACAGGGCAGTCTGTCTGGTTAGGGGCTAATCTGTTATTTAGAAGGTTTATAGGAAGCCACATTAGAAAGTCAAGGTGTGAGATTTTCGTTCTATATGTATACATTAGAGGCCCAGTGCACGAAATTCATGCAGGGGGGTGTCCCTCAGCCCAGCCTGCACCCTCTCCAATCTGGGACCCTCGAGGGATGTCTGACTGTCCCTTAAGGCCCAATCTCACAATCCAGGACTGCTGGCTCCCAACTGCTTGCCTGCTTACCTTCCTGATTGCCCCTAATCGTTTCTGCCTGCCAGCCTGATCACCCCACCCCCGCTAGCCTGACTGATGCGTAACTGCTCCCCTGCCAGCCTGTTTGCCCCTTACTGCCTTCCCCTGCAGGCCTGGTTCTCCCCAACTGCTCTCCCCTGCAGGGTTGATCACCCCCAACTTCCCTTCCTTGCAGGCCTGGCCCCTCCTGACTCCCCTCCCTTGCTGGCCATTTTGCGTCCACATGGGGGCAACCATCTTTGACCACATGGGGGCAGCCATCTTGTATGTTGGAGTGATAGTCAATTGTATAGTACTCTTTTATTAGATAGGATTGTAACAATTTTGCATGGTAACTATATTGTATATACAAATATACATTCTATTTTTCCATTTAATAATGGAATATCAATTTATATTATTATAAACTCTTTTAGTCTCTCTTTAAAACTTTTTCTATTATCACCTCTTGTGTTCATTTTGAGCTGCACAGATTCTTTCTCTTAATTATAAAGCTCAGATTTATAAGTAACACTTCTACTGAAACTTTGATTATGTACAATATATTTTGATCAATAGTATTATTTTGATGCTAATATCTTGGCAGAAATTCTAAAAATATAGATATAATTCCATGATTTGGATTTATTTTAGACGTATTTTCTCTTACAAGTCTAGGTTTTGACTGTTCTTTTCAGAGTTAATATGTATTTATGTATCTATAAGGAGACTTTTCTTCCCGTTTCCTGTCAGCCCTCAAATGTAGATGCAGCCAAACCTAATTACACCTTCCTGCAGAAGCAAAGTAGCGGATGCTACTCACTTTCTATCACAACTAACCCAGATGAAGAATGGCGAGAAGTCAGGCACACTGGACCTGTTCAGAAGTATGTACCGTGTCATGTCTCGTTTGTAATAGGTGGGCATGCTAGTTGTTTTTACTCATATGGCTGATTTTTTTTTTTTTGAATAGTTTGAGGACATTCTTTGAATGTTTTTTTTAAAAAATATATTTTATTGATGTTTTACAGAGAGGAAGAGAAAGGGATAGAGAGAAACATTGATAAGAAAAATCATCGATCTGCTGCCTCTTGCACACCCCCTATTGGGGATGTGCCCGCAACCAAGGTACATGCCCTTGACCAGAATCGAACCTGGGACCTTTCAGTCCGCAGGCAGACGCTCTATCCACTGAGCCCAACCGGTTTTGGCTCATGTGGCTGATTTTAAGTAGTCTATTTTTTAAAATGTTTTGAGATTTACTTTCACACTATTATAAATGGCTAATAATGAAAATAATATTTTTTCTAAATTTATGAAAAGTTAAAAAATTTTATTAAGAAAAACAATTGTGCCATTTCACTTAGTTTATGTTAATAAGACAGAAATAGTAGCCAAGCTATCAAATTTTTTAAGATTAAAGCACTTATTGAAAATATTTAAATAGCAATGTATGATTTTTAAGATTATGTATTTTATATCTGAATATATAATAGGAAAATTAAATTATTTATGAAAGTGTGCCTCAATTTAAGGTATTTTAGAATTTGTCAGAACTTCCCTTTTAGAAATTGTGTTTTTGTTTTTGTTTATATTTTGTCTTTTATACATCTTCTCATGGTGGGAAGGCAGAATTGGGAGTCTATGCATTTGAGAGTGGTTTTATTCCTCTATGTATTCCTTTTCTCTGTTTTAGGAAAAAAAACACCACATGAAAGCACAGGATAGGAAAATAGCTGATAAATAGAAACTAAAATATTAGCATTTAAAATTATCAGTCTTGCCAAAATCGGTTTGGCTCAGTGAATTGAGTCTGCGGACTCAAGGATCCTGGGTTTGATTCCGGTTAAGGGCATGTACATTGGTTGCGGGCACATCCCCGGTGGGGTGTGTGCAGGAGGCAGCTGGTCGATGTGTCTCTCATCGATGTTTCTAGCTCTCTATCCCTCTCCTTTCCTCTCTGTGAAAAATCATTAAAATATATTAAAAAAAAATAAAATAAAATTTTCAGTCTTTTTTGATTTAGGTGTCATGCTTATCAAGATTAAGTCAATTGCGGATGACCTTTGTCTTCTTAAATCTTTCTGGTTCAAGAAGTACATATTATACCTTTATTATTTACTATACTAGTGGCCCAGTGCATGAAATTTGTGGACATTAAAAGAGAATTAATTAGAGGAAATATTTTAATATTGCTATTTGCCATTTCTCTATAATAGAAGTGTCAGAGATGAAAGAAAATTAGTAAAATGTATATGAAAATAATATATACATTTATTAGTAAATAAACAATATGTCCTCGGCCGGCGCCAGGCGGGGTCGCAGCCTCATGTCCCAGCCTCGCTGCGCATGTAGCCCCACCCACCCCTGCCTGCTGTGCACGCAGCCTCTTGCTGATTGGTCAGTATAGCGTGGGGGCATCACAACCATTTGCATATTACCCTTTTATTAATATAGATATGTGCACCTGTCTATGCCAAGATTATAGCCAAGAATTCACTGCTGCTACTGGTCTTATTTTTGAACTTCAAGAGAGGATGCTAGAAGAAAGATGCCTAATTAGTTGTCATCTATTTTCTGCTACTTTTGGGTTGTATTCTAATTATTTCTTTCCCTTATAGTCTCTTATGTTTTATATTATAAGCACTTTATCATAGGGAACTTGCCTCCTTAAGCTACCTATTATTCCCATCACCCAGCAGCTGTCTTAGACTAGCAACCAGTAGAGCATAGTTTTGATTGCTGGTTCTTTTGAATAGAAAGGAACTAGGAATATGAATAGGGATTCACTTAGAGTTAGAAAGTATACCATAGGAAAATCATCCATGGTTTTATTATTTCAGTTTGTTGAAAGTTAAAAATTATGCAGAAGATAGACATCCTCAGTGGTATTGTGATTGATTGTGAGATATAACCTATTGATTTAACAGATATTGAGACCAGCCTACATGAGAAGAATTAGAAAGGAAAAGATGCTCAATGAGACTATTATAAGTTGCTTATGAAAATAAAGGGAGGAAAACATACTTGTCAAATTTTTTTTGCTCTATGTATTTTAGTTATTGAATTCTACTGCCCTGCTATTGTACCATATGACAAATCTTTTTGATCCTAGAATTAAAAAAAATATATATATTTTATTGATTTTTTTACAGAGAGTAAGAGAGAGTGATAGAGAGTTATAAACATCGATGAGAGAGAATTATCGGTCAGCTGCCTCTTGCACACCCCGTACTGGGGATGTGCCCTCGACCAAGGTACATGCCCTTGACCGGAATCGAACCTGGGACCTTTCAGTCCGCAGACCACCACTCTACCACTGAGCCAAACCGGTCTCAGCTTGATCCTAGAATTTTTTTTTTATTAAATTATTATCTGTGTACATATTTTGACATTGCCCCCCCTTGATCCTAGAATTTTTAATACCAATATATTTTAACTCTATTTTTTACTTTTAAGGTTGATTGTATATCCTCCACCACCTACCAAGGGGGGATTAGGAGTAACTAGTGAAGATCTGGAGTGCTTAGAAGAAGGGGAGTTTCTTAATGATGTGATTATTGATTTCTACCTTAAGTAAGTACAATGCTAACTGATCTTCTCATTTGCTTTACAGGTTTTGATGTGAATCTTAAAATAAATGTTTTTATATCTAAAGTATTTAACTCTAGATAAAAGTAACCTGCCAAGATATTAGATTTGAAAATTTGTCTCCAAACGTTTTCTAGAGTTGACTGACTCAGTTGTATTCCCTTATTTTTAATAGATACTATGTACTTCAGAAGAGGTACTGTTTTTAGTTTGTTTTAGTTTTTGTTTGTTTTGATTTATTCTTCTTTGACTATTATTGTGATGAAGGAACTACTTACATATTTACAAATCACTTTGGGAACTAACTGAAGAGAAGCAACTCTGTGTAGTTATCTATTGTGTCTTTAAACACAATTAAGAATTAACAGTTATTTTAAAAATCCATATCACTATTTAAAAAAAAAAACCTTCAGATTTTTGTATAACTAAGCTGAAGGAATAGATAGGGAAGGTTTATCAATTTTCATGCAAAGGTAATTTGTTTCTAGCCTTTATTTTGTACTGTATCCCTTCACTTTTAGATGTCTCTAATTATTTCATTGACCCCTCTCAAACTAAACTTATTGTCATTTTACCTACTAAGCCCTATTTTACTGATAATCCAGTACTTAGTCTAGTCACTCAGGTCCCAAAACTCACACTAGCATTTACTATTTATCCTTAACATTGTAGATTTAATCTCTAAAAGTTTAATTTGGGTCCTTTTTTTTTTTTTTTTTTTTTTTTTTTTATAGCTTCCATGTATCTATTTAGTTATAGTAACTGTTTGGAATATAGTTATATAGTTATAACAACTGTTTCAATGTCCTTTTCTATGTATTCTAACATCTGTGTCAGTTTTTCTTTTTCATTGTGAGTTTTCTTTTTCATTTTGTTTTGTTTTGCTTCTTTGCGTGTCTGGTGATTTTTTTTTGGAGGGGGGGGGGCTGGGCATTTTTGTATTCCTATATATATTAATTGAACTTTATTATGGTGGAACACAGATTTTTTGGAAGCAGTTTGATGCTTTTAAGGGTCATGCTTTTTGTAATTTGTTAGCCGAGACCAACAAATTAATCTCCGCCTCTGAGAAAAGACTTTTCAAAGTATTCTACCCTGTTCCGCATGAATCATGAGGTTTTCCAGCCTGCCTGGTAGGAAAAGGCATTATTCCCAGGGCCTTTGGAAATGCTGGGTACCGTCTGTCTCATCTTTTCAGGTAGTTTCCCGCCAGCCGTGGGTATTTTCCTTACACCCGTACAATGATCAGTGTGCTGCTGACTACTTGAGGAGGACTTTCTGAAGATGTTTGAAGTTCTCTATGTAGATAGTTCTTTTCTTTCCAATATTCAGACTTGGCTGCTTGGTCTCTTCTGAATCACATCCATCTCTTCAACTCGGGGAGTCTGTCAGGCCTCAGTGTGCTCCTTGTGCTCCTTGTGCTGCAGCCTGGAAACTGTCAAGGCCATTCTGAGAGAGCTTACCTTTCACGTTTCTCAAAGATCACTGCTCTTTGTTGCCTGATGTCCACGGTTTTAAAAAATATTTAAACAATTTAAAAAAATATTTTGCTTAATTTTTATTTTATTTTTTATTTTATTTTTTTTCAACCAGAAGGGTAAATTTGGTCCATATTATTCAATCTAGACTGGAAGTGAAAGTCTCCCATTATCATGGGCTCTTTATCCCCCTCCCCCCAATTCCCTTTCTATATATTGAGTTGCCAATTTTAACAAATTCTGTCTCTCGAGTTCATTTAATCTCTTTCTTTTGTTGTCATGATCTTTCTAGTACTCCTTATCTCACCTAAATTATCATTCTGCCTTTTTAAGTAGTCTCCCTGTATCTTTTGTCTCTGTTTTTTTTAACTTTTTCTTAAACTGCTCTAAGAAAGCAATTCTTAGGAACTTTACCTGTTAAAATGAGTTCAGACACAGTCTGGCATTTGAGGATCTTGATAATATGACACCAGTTTATCTTTTCAGCCATCTACATATATGTACTACATAGTCCAGCAAAATGGAATTATAAACAGTTTGCTAAACAAAGCCCAATCCCTATTCACACTTCTGTATTAATGCTGTTTTTCCTGCTTCCTGGAATTCTCACCTCTTATTTAAACTTGTTGAAATTTTATTCCCTTTCAAGGCTCTTTTCAAGTGGTACCTTTGTGAAACTTTTCCTGATCTTTTAAACAAATATTATTAACTCCCATAAAACTTCATTTGCATCTCTTTTATGGTACTTACACTATTTTGCCTTATTTTAAAGTTATTTGGTAGTTTTATAATCATTCTCCTTCTAAAGGTTAAGCACTTTGAATTTTATTTTTGTATCTTATAATAGTATCACATTTATATTTTATGAGATGAAATGGGTCATTTTTTGGGTATTTTAATGTTTTTTGAATTAATAAAATTTTATTTTTAATGCAGATTTAATAGTATTTTACTATACTTCCTTTTCATGGGACTACCCATATCTCTGTTCTTTATTTTTAGAGGGGATTCTATCTTTATTTTTTAAGCTACTTTCTATTTCTTAAATTGATGAGTAACTTTCAAGTAATACAGTATAAAGCTGATGTTCACATATGTATACACCATCTTAATCATCATTCAGATCAAGCATTCTTTGTGTCTCCTTTCCTGTAGTATATCTTTCCCATAACCACATTATAGAAAAACATCACATTTTCTTAGTCTGTTATGTTTTTAAAAAAAGTAATTATAGGGTAATTTTCAAACCTGCATAAACATTAAAAATAGTTGAGTTCTGCCCTAGCCTGTGTTGCCCAGTGGTTGAAGCACAGGCACAGGTACCTAAGGGTCTTGAGATCGATTCCCAGCCCTGGTTGGGACAGTGCGGGAGGCAACCAATTAGTGTGTCTCTCTTACACTGATATCTTTCTTTCTCTCTCTCCCCCCCCACTCCCTTTTTTCCTTCCTCCCATTTTCTTAAAATCCAATGGGAAAAATACCCTCAGGTGAGGTTTAACAAAAAACAAAAAAAGGAATAGTTGAATTCTCTAATCATGAGAGGTTTAATTATTCAATGTTTGAATTATAATCTTATGTTGAAGAACTTTTAGTATAGAAATGGACTAAGAATTTAGAAATTTGTCATGTCTCAGAATTATTAAGATTTTTTTCTTTTCTTTTTTGTCTGTAGTATAAATATGGTACTCAACACATGTTAGGTATTTGATAAATATTTGTTAAATGAATAAATGAATAAGTGGGCAATTTCTGCTTTAAATAGTCTTGGTGCAGGTCTTTGAAGTAACTAAAAAACAAAAAGAACTGAAGTTAGAGCAAATTGCAAGATTGCTTTGAATCTAATAATTGGATATAAAAATGAAGATTCCCAGAACACATAAGATAATTGGGGGAAAACCAGGTAAAATCTAAAAATAATTTAATTTTGTGGTGTTGCTACTTTACCAGGTATCTTATATTGGAAAAGGCATCAAATGAACTTGGTGAACGAAGTCACATTTTTAGTAGCTTTTTCTATAAATGCTTGACGAGAAAGGAAAAGAACTTAACAGAAGATAATCCAGATCTTTCGTAAGTTATCTTCCATTGTACTTACGTTTTGAGGGGCAGATATACCATTTTGATGTTTCTAATGAAATAACTTCGTAGAGTGTTCCGTTGAGTGAGTAATATTTTCACTTGTGTAGGTGCTGGGTCTGTTGTTCTGTGAGACATTTCTCACCTTCCATGGCACTGCTCCTTCTCAAAGGGAGGTGGACTCTTGCAGGCTGCATTTCCATTTGCACTTCCTTTGGGGGACACTGGGAGCTGGAAAGGAAGGAAGGAAGGAACTAGGTGATTTCTTTACCTTCCACCGTGGGCAGTGATTCTGGCAGTTTCTCACCCTAAAGTATAAGCCCCATGAGGTCAGGGACTTTATCTGCCTTATTTTCTACTATCCCTACTGCCTTTTACTCAGTTCTTGGTACATGCTAAGAACTCAAAGAAAACGATACATAATAATGTGTATTATTTAATGGGGAGAGAACTGTTAGATATTTAATTGAGGATTTTCTACACAGTTAGGAACTGAGAATAAGATTAATTTGTGGTTCCCGTATTCTCTCCTATTCTCCTTGCCCTATTCCATTTGTAATATATTCCCAATCAAATAAAGTTAACATAATCAGGAAATATACCAAACACCAACATAACACAGAAGAATTGGCATCCTTGTGATTTTCAAATGGAGAAATTAATAGACTATACACTAGAGGAAAGCAGTTATTTATATTCTTGTAATGGTTGGGCCATTCTGAAATAAAAAAAAATCAGTGAACATGTGACTCCATCTTATTTTATGAAGTTAGTCTTCTACATACAATGTTCATTCCTGTCACATCTTTTAGCCCTTTCTGGATCCCATCTTCTTTCCCACGTCTGCCCTTGCAAGTGTGATTAGTCAGATGAGCAGATATTGGGCAAAGATGTCTATTTCCTCTATTACTTGATATATAAATCTTTAAGGACTTAATGATTTGTTTAATTTCCTGCATAAGAAGAGGTTCTTCAATGGATGGATTCTCTGATCCAGAAATCACATACCACCTCCTTTATGCCACTGTTAATTGCCACCCCCTTCCTAAAATTATTTTTTGATATCCAAACTTGGTTTGATATCTTCCCTGATGGATTTAGTAAAGCAGGGGTGGGGAACCTTTTTTCTGCCAAGAGCCATTTAGATATTTATAACAGCATTCACTTAATATAATTCACTTCATATAAATTTATGTTGCTATGAGAAAAAGCTCCTAGATTTATGGAATTTCGAGTCCTACCTGCGTTTGCCTTGGCAGGGCCAGACCAAATGATTTCTCAAGCCTTACTGGGCCCATGGACTTTCCCACCCCTGATGTAAAGAAATACACTATTTCGTATTTGTTTTTTGTGTGTCTCACCCCTTTTATAGGTGGCTTTCCTAGATGCTGTAATGTCATTCTTTATGACATTTATATTTTAATTATTTGTTGTGTGCTTTTTTCTGCCCTCACTTTAAAATAAATTCATTTAGATCAGTGTGGGTGATGTTATGATTGTTCTTAGGAACCTAATAAATATTTGTTGAAGTAATGAAATGAGCCGAAACTGGTTTGGCTCAGTGGATAGAGCATCAGCTTGCGGACTGAAAGGTCCCAGGTTTGATTCTGGTCAAGGGCATGTTTCTAACTCTCTATCCCTCTCTCTCCCTCTCTGTAAAAACTCAATAAAATATATTTTAAAAAAAGAAATGAAATGAAAGATGGATATACTTAACTCATTGTCTTATAGTTTTTTTATATAACAAATGAAGGGAGTCAAGTGTCAGCTTTAAAAATCTCAGAATATCTGCCTCCTTCCTCTTTCATTGTTTTAAAACACCTCCCTATTCACAGATATAATATTTAGACAATTCTGTTAAGATTTAATAATAGTGTTTTATACCATGTGAAGATGGAACTAAACAGAATAAATAGGTATAGTTGTTTATATTCACTTATGCCACTTGTAAAATCTACATGACATTTTATAAATTGTTGCCTTCTATTACATTATTTATAAACAGGGATCAGATTTAAGAATACCCAGGAGTTAATAAAAGGAGATAATTTTCTAGTGTGTTATATATCTTGAAAAGGATGGTTTGGTAAGCTAAACCTAGCAGTTTTCAGTTATAAAAATGACTCTTGAAATCCTTATCTTAAATTTTTAATTATTTATATATCAAATATATCTATTTTTCATATTCCCAGAATGGCACAAAGAAGACATAGAAGGGTAAGAACATGGACTCGCAACATAAACATCTTTAATAAAGATTACATCTTTGTGCCTGTAAATGAGTCGTGAGTATTTTGGATTATTTCAAAAGAAAATTGGAGGGGGTACAGAAAAGTATTTGGGGTGTATTTAGATAGATAATCAGTAAAAAGTGTGCATATATTAACCCCAGGTGTAATTATTATTTATTTTATTTTTATTTTTTCTTTATTGATTAAGGTATTACATATGTGTCCTTATCCCCCAATGCGTGCCCCCCCCCCCCCCCCCCCCCCGCAATGTCCTCACCCTCCTAGTGTCTGTGTCCATTGGTTAGGCTTATATGCATGCATACAAGTCCTTTGGTTGATCTCTCCCCCTTAGCTCCACCCTCCCCTGCCTTCCCTCTGAGATTTGACAGTCTGATTGATGCTTCTCTGTCTCTGGATCTGTTTTTGTTCATCAGTTTATGTTGTTCATTATATTCCATAAGTGAGGGAGATCATGTAATATTTATATTTCTCAATTGACTTATTTTATTTAGAATAATGCTCTCCAGGTCCATCCATGCTGCTGCAAATGGTAGGAGTTCCTTTTTATAGCAGCATAGTATTCCATTGTGTAGATGTACCACAGTTTTTAAATCAACTCATTAGCTAAAACAATGAGTTATATATCTTGGATTTTGTTTTGACAGTGGTTATATTGTAAATAATAGTGAAAAAAAATAAAATGACAAATGAGCACAAAACTGTAATGACTAAGGCATTGAATGTTTTTTTCAACTCAAGAAAAGATCAAAAGATGTTAGCATGAATCTTCAAATATTTGAGAGTAAGCTCTTTAAGAACTAATAGAAAAATTATTATGCTTCGAGTCTATTTATTAAAGCAAATCCTCGACAGAAAACACTGACTATAAGAAAGTAAATAAGTTTGAATTACTCAGATTTTATCCTAAGTAGTCTTACTTCGTACTTATAATTAGTTTTGGAATGTGTGTTCTATATTATATCAGATATTTTAATTGACTTCTTCTAAATTCAGTTTGTCACACCCCCTTTCTTAGCTGTAGTTCTAGGATGTATTCTTAGGCATTGTTTAGGTTTTGTGTTATTAAGATTGTATTTCTCTTTTGACAGGTCTCACTGGTACCTTGCAGTCATTTGTTTTCCGTGGTTGGAAGAAGCTGTGTATGAAGATTTTCCACAAACCATATCCCAGCAATCCCAGGCTCAGCAATCCCAGCACAACAAAACAATAGGTGATAAACATAATGTAAATGGTGTTCTTAATGGCAACAACAATGGAATGATTAGAGGGAACATTATTACGTTAAAAGATACATAGTTTATTAAACTTACTAGAAGAATAAGAAAGCTGAAAATTTCATGATATATGCCCAGCCTTTTATATAGATAGTATATAATTTTTTATATTGAGTTTCATCATGGCACTTTTTATACCATAATCTTGCCGTCATGACTAAGGACCTATGCTGTGGATCTTCAATTAAGCTTGAAATTCCCCATTTTTTCTTAATATAAAGTAACGCAGTTTTTGTTGACACAGTAATTTGGCTAGGTAATATGGGTCTCTTAACAATTCTGTCTTGATTTTTCTTATGTTACAACCCAGTTACGCAAGCAAATAAGCCTACTTTCTTTGAAGAAGAAAAATCAAAATTATATGTTCTATAGCTGTAGCCCAAGCAGCAAGCAGAATTAATAATAGTCATTATCATTAACACTGACCAAAATGCGGGGGAGGGGTGGTTTGGAGGGGCTGTGTGTATCTGATAAAGCAACTGATTATTTTCAATTTTCTCTAATCATCTTCTTCTTAGAAAGTATACTTATGAAACACTCTATGATCATAGGTTATAAGAACCATTACTAGACAAATTAATGTTCCTCCACATTATAAACAGCAGACATTTTGCCTAGCTGGTGTGTCTCAGTGGTTGAGTGTTGACCTATGAACCAAGATGTCATGGTTCGATACCCAGTCATGGCACATGCTCTGGTTGTGAGCTTAATCCTCAGTTGGCGTATGCAGAAGGCATTTGATCAGTGATTCTCTCTTATCATTGATGTTTCTATCTCTCCCTCTCCCTTCCTCTCTCTGAAATCAATAAAAATATATATTAAAAAATAAATAGAAACAGCAGATATTTTAATCAGTGATCCATTTTTGAAGATTGTCTTTTTATAAGAAACAGACCCAGCTAACTGGTATTTCAGGTTTGGCTCTGGGGTTTATGTATTGTCTGATAATAGCTGATTATAGTCAGTTTTACCTGTTGATTGAATTTTGTTTATAACTTCAACCATGAAAAGTTTAAATAGATTCCAGGTATTTTTTCCCCTTTAAATACTATATCCATACAAATTAGAATTTATGCTTATCTAAATACTTTGTATTAGACATAAAGACTCATAACTGCTTTGTTATTTCTAACTAGATAAAGATCTACGTACTACTTCAGTACTATCCTTGGGTACAGTGGATTCTCAAGTAAGTGTGTTCTTTATAGATTTGAAGGAAGGGAAACTCATGAATCTGTAAAATTCTGCATAGCTAGGTGGCTGTGGGACCTTGGTGGCCCATAATTAAATTTTTGCTACCTATGATTCTTTGATGGATTTTGTGTGAGTAGAAAAGAGAACATGAGATATTAACATTCTTTTTGTATCTGTTTATCTTTCTTTGACTCCTTTGGTTTGTTTAGTTTTGTAATAGTTTATCTGATCATCTTAGTTGACTACTTTTCTCATTTATGTGAGTCAGATTTACTTTTATTCTTCCTTATGTTAGCAATTTTTTGAACTTAGCATAATTAATAAACTAATTTTTATATTCTACTTTCTTATATTCTACAAGCATATTTTTATATTTTACTTTCTATTGTGAATTGATAAAAATTATCAAAATAGAATCAAGGCCAACCCACATGGCTTCTGAGACGAAGATAGTTAACTTTTCTATATAAGGGCCTTAAAACTTGTATGCAAGGTCTATATTTGGTGTTTTAATCGATTAAGGTAGCCACCAAATGAATTTTTGGTGAGCACAGATAGCAGCAGCCTCCTGGCACAGGCCTGTGTCTTAGCTGTCACTGGTATTGGGTAGGTGGAAGGAAGGTGTTTCCTCCTCTATTGGTACAGTGGCAGGATAGGGAGTTCTTTCTTGCTTTTAAGCCAGGTTTCCCAAATTGGGTTTCTTGGAATACTTGTTCTAAAATGCAGTTTATGATAAAAAGGGATTCTAAGGTCAGTTAATTTGGATAAACCCTGGATGCTATTTCTGTTTTAGAGATCCACTGTTACACAAAATTCATGCACTGGCGGGGGTGAGGAGTCCCTCAGCCAGCAAGCGGACACCCTGTGCGCAGTCCAGAGCCCCTTGTTCCTTACCGCCGCCTGCTCTCTGCTCCTGACTGCTGGGCTCACTGCTCCTTAGTGCTGCTGCTGAGGTGGGAGACTCCCGCCACTGCCACTGCGCTCGCCAGCTGTGAGCCTGGCTTCTGACTGAACGGCACTCCCCCTGTGGGAGTGCACTGACCGCCAGGGGGCAGCTTCTGTGTTGAGCATCTGCCCCCTGGTGGTCAGTGTGCATCATAGTGACTGGTTGTTCTGGTCATTCCACCATAACTGTCGTTTAGGCTTTTGTTATGTAGATAATAAAGATACTGAGACGTTCTGCTTTAAAGAAGTGTTTGTTTGACCTATTGTTTCTCAAATTTATCAACAAAAATATCCATCCTTTTTGCTTAATATACATTAATATTTTGCTTTTTGTGCTTCAGAGGAAAGAAATGTCTCTACTGACATTACTTATTGAGGTAGAGAATATATGTAAGCATACATTAAATTAATTTGCTTATCTTTGCTGAAGATGATAACTCTGAATAGAAGTAATTAATTAAAGTTCCAGATTATTTTTTAGGACATATTAAAGGTTCATAACTTCTTCAGGCCACATGTAAAACTGTGTAAACTACTGTTTCACTAGTACCTTACCTAATAATAGACAAACATGTAAATTGACCTTACCTCCGCTATGCCACCAGCCAATCAGAGTGAGTAGGCAAATTAACCCACCAAAGATGGCAGTTAATTTGCATACACAGGTGCTGAGTGACCTGCATAGTTGCCTGTGCAGTCACCATGGCGACAATACAGGCATTCCACCCTACCTCAGTCTCTCAGGGCCTCTGGGCAGCATGGGAAGGCAGGGCTGGAGTGGAAAGGCGGTGCCAGAAGCCAGGGGAAGGAAGGCATGAATCTTCGTGCATTGAGCTTTTAGTAAGGAAATAAATCAGTGCATTTTGAAAAGTGCATTAGCTCACTTTTGATAATGAAAATAACTCTTATTTGAAATTTTAATTTCAAAGTTATTTGAAACATTTTAGAAAGTAACTTAATTTATTCAAACTAGTTTTAATCGTAAAGTCATAAAAATTTATGTTATTTCAGAGTACTGAGACAAGTATGTCAATACCAAAGAAAGTATGTAAAAGGTAGGTACATGCTATAATGATATTTTCAAATATTTAGGTTCACTTCATATACAAATATGTACATCTTGATTTCTTCCTTTGCTCTTAATAGGCCATGCATTCTCATACTAGACTCCTTGAAAGCTGCTTCTATACAAAACACAGTTCAGAATTTACGAGAGTAAGTAATGACAGTTTGTTCTTTAGTTTGTTACCTAAAAATCTCAATAATTTTGAAGATATTTTAAGAATTACTGAAAATGCTATGATAATTATATTTTATTATGTATTTAGATGAGGCCTATAAGTTTAAGAATTAATATTTCTCAAGGACTATGTCAAAAGTAAATTCAGAATTTGTATTCATAATTGAACAAAAGCACAACTTTACAAAGGAACAGTGCAAATGTTAGTAGTTATCAAAAGTAATACTTTAGGAAATAAACCTTAAATTCTTATTACATGTGTGTATGTGTGTGTGTGTGTGAGTGTGTGTGTACACGTATGTGTAATTTTGTAATTTACTCTAAAGATCTGGAAAAAAACTAGCAGCTAAAATTTTAAAATAATTTATTAATCTACTTTTTGATATAAGTAACTTTATATTTTTGATTTGTTAAAGTTGAGTTGTTAGAAAAGATCCAGCATTTAGTTAGAAACTAAGATTATTTTCTTTAAAGTAGGACTTTTGAAGCCTCACATGTAATTTTTACTGTTAAAGTTCAGTCTTTGGAAATTAGGCTTGAGCCAACAAATGTTTTTGTGTGAAAGTGTTACATAACAATAAAGAGATTTCTATTCAAGTCAATCTACTTTTTAATGATTTAAGGTATTTAGAAGTAGAGTGGGAAGTTAAACGAAAAACTCACCGTGAATTCAGCAAAACAAACATGGTGGACCTATGCCCTAAAGTTCCTAAACAAGATAATAGCAGTGATTGTGGAGTATATTTACTGCAATATGTGGAAAGCTTCTTTAAGGTATGTAAAAATATAAATTTCTTATTCACAGTTACCAGTATACAATCACAAATTACTGGGCAAGCAAAGAAGCAGAAAATGTTATAGGTAATCATGGAAGGAAGGAAAGAAGGAAGGAAAGAGAGAGGGAGGGAGGGAGGGAGGGAGGGAGGGAGGGAGGAAGGAAGGAAGGAAGGAAGGTAGTATTAGTGAACTTCAAAAAAGAAAAAGACATTACAAAGTATCCAATTTGCTTGGAGAAGAAAAAGAATATAAAGAACGGAGCATAAGAGATAAGTGTGATACAGTCAAAAAGTCTAATTTACATATAATTGGAGTTCCAGAATGATTACTGGTGGGAGTGGGGGTGCATGCAGAGAGTAGTAAGGCAGATTGAAATTTGAAGAAAAATGTTCAGAACTAGATTCATGTAATCAAGTAGTTCAGAAAACCACGAACTAGATAAGTGCAATGACAAGCCTGGGTGTTATTTTCTAGCTCACCAGGGACTCCATTGAAGCTGCAGCAATATTAAAGGAGAAATTTTAAATAGCAAGGAATTACTCTTTGCTTTTTGAACTGTCAGCTTACTACTTCAGTCATTACCAGTGTTGCTAGTATATTTAGCAGGTTATTTATACTTGCTTGGAAAATCCTTTAAAGATTACAGTACTTTCAAAGTAAGGATTATAAGGTGCAGTTAAAACTTTTGGTATAATTGGAGAGGAATAACATAGAGGAATATGGTACATGTTATGAAAGTCACTGAAATATATTAATATTTTTTTCACATTGGAAGTTCATTAAAGGGAGTCAATTCTAGTCTTCTAATATTCTTTCCAAAAAGATTTGGTTTTATTTTTATAATATTCTAAGTTCCTTATTACACATTTTGAGTTTAATACATAATTCTACTTTAATAGCCTCAGTCAGTAGAATATGCATCTAATAAAGGTTGTAAGATTTCTGGGGTGTGGGGGAGAAACTAAAAAAAAACCTAAACCATGTGTTTTACAAATTTGTGCATAAATTTGTGGAAAAAAATAGGTCTGGGATGGATCACTCACAACCCGTGGAACATGTAACTAAGCCCTAACAAAATATTAATTCTAATAAAAATACTCGCATAGTTAAATCACCACTGACATTTGCTCTGAGCATCATAGTCCATTTTTTTTTAACATTATACCCTGGGACTCCTAATTTCTTCTTCAAGCTGTAAATCCTTCTTATATCTGGCTTCTAATAGTTTCATCAAATTTATAATAAACCTGATCTAGAGGGAGCCTTCTTCAGCAGTTATTTTTTTAAAAAAACTTGCAACTTCCTTATTAAGCTTAAAACAATTGAAAAAACAACTGTTCTTGAAGCCAATAAATTGGCTGTTTTTGCACTAAAAGAAGGCCCTTCTTCAGGATTTGATGTGTTTTGTTTTTTTTAAATTTGAGATTCTTCATTTACTGTTAAGACTTTCTCTTTGTTTTAATAATTTCAAAATATTAACATGTTGAAGAAAATTGTGTTTAAATTAACCTTCTGCATTGAACTCTATCATTCTCTACTACTAATCTGTTTTGCACTAATCGGTTAAGCACCATTGTAACAGAACAAACAGGATTTATTTTTGTTGTTCAAAAATTAGCAGTTTAATGAAAATGTTCTAAAATGATGGTGGTGATGGTTGCACAACTTTGTGAATATACTGAAAACCATTCAATTGCATCTTAGGTGAATTTTATAGTATGTGAATGGTATCTTAGCAAAGTTGTTATTTAAATAAAGTTGGCAATTTCTCATTTCTTGTAAAAATGAAATTCAAACAAGTCTGAATCATACCACTAGAATGATTGTATTCTTTCTTTTCTCTAGGACCCTATTGTTAACTTTGAACTCCCAATTCATTTGGAGAAATGGTTTCCTCGCCATGTAATAAAGACCAAGCGGGAGGATATTCGCGAGCTCATTTTGAAACTTCACTTGCAGCAGCAGAAGGCCAGCAGTAGCTAGTTAATCTGGACAAAGATGACAGATGCTCTACACGATTACAGGAAAGCTGCTTACCAGCATTTGTGTTAGCCAGCTCACAGAGAAGAAAATAACTTGTAGTAGTTTTATAAGTCATTGGCCTTTATTTAAAATATATAAGGTGTCTTATTAGATTGTTGGGATCTTATAGATGGAGAAGAGATGGGGGTGAGAAATACACTTAATAGATAGAAATGGAAATTTCATAAATATTTGATATTTTTCTGATTTAATATGCTTGGATTATGCAATAGCATATGTAATGTGGGAATGTTTTTGTAGATAATAAAACTATGTGATCTGTACTTCCACATAACGGGAGTTGAAGGGAGCTCGGTCCTCCCTGCTAACAGCCCCAGTGCTTGTCACATTCTTTGACAAGTCACATAATATTGTAATTCTATTCTTTGCAGCTCAAGCATGCAGTATGAATACTGTGTATTTTTTTTTAACGAATTTAGTATCAAGGCTTCAGAAAGTGCCTTTTATGGCATCCCTTCTGTACGTGTAAAAGAAGACATAATGTTAGCAAGGTGATAAAAATCCAGTCTTTCAAAGCACAGCTTATTTTTCTCATCTGCTAAATGGAACCATTACTCTGCTGTAATTTTCCCTCTCCTTTTTTTATTTCATATGTGGGGAACTGAGAATTTAGTTCATTCTTTCAGGGTGAAATTTGTAACAAAAAATGTTTTAAAAATTATATATGTTAACTCAATTTGAAGTATAGCTATATACTGACTGCTACATTACCCCAGAATATATGTACACAATTTATGTAAGTATAGAAGATAAAATTGGTGTCCTTATAATTTTATTAAAAAATACCCTCAAAGTCTTATTTATTATTAGAACTAAATACATAATTTTATAACTCTGTTACCCAGTATTCATCTGTAAAGCCAGATTGCCGTCATTGCTTTTATATTTTTAAATTGGACATTTTAGAAACCTGTAATTCCCATGGAGCTTACTTTTTTTTTTTATATTAAATGTTCAGGTAACAGTTATAAATTCATGTACTGAGGGTGGTATTATAGAAATACTTCACAATCCTCTAATGTTATCAAGAATACTTTGAGGGGACAATTATAATGTATTTTCTCAAATAAGGAAAATTTTTTTTAAGGAATATTTTAATCTTCTGTTTTAAGCATCTCTTGGATTTACATTGTAACTGTATATAAAGCAGTGAAACAAAGGAAATTTCAGATACAGCTAAAAGTAGGAACATTTTATTTCAAAATCATGTGAATTGATATTATCAGTTAAACCTCAGTGTTTTTAAGCTTTTGTTAATCTTGTCACCATCTTTATATTGTTAAAGGTATTTGTCTTTTGGAAGTTTCCTATAAAGAATCTTATAATTACATGTTTCATTCCCAATTTATGTGTGTGTAGGAGGGGACTTTTTTAGGTGACTATTAATGGTTTCATACATCAAATTTTGGTAAAGTAAATATATAATACATTTTCTTGTGACTTCTTAACATTTTTGTTTGTGTGTTTTTCAAAGATACCACTGTCTCTTATCATGTTTTGAAGATGTTTAAAATTCATTTTCCTAAATTCATGTGGAAATGGTTTGAGAATATCAACATTTTATATTAAACATATTTACAATTCATTAGATTGAACTATAATTTTTTAAAGAAATGTGTGACAGTCTTAGAAATAAATTTGAGTTTTACAGTGGCCAGTACATATCATGTGGCTTAGATTAATTTACCTTTCTGTTTTAGTAAGCATAATGCTAATTTGGTTGTTGGTTCAGGAAACATTTGAGTAATTTTTTAGATACAATAAAATGAATGAGATCTTCTGAACTCTTTATAGTATAATGGGAGAAGTGAACATATGAACAATCTTAATATTCCCTGATAAAAGCAATCATAAGTTTCTTTGGGTGCACAAGAGGGAGTTCATCCTTGTGTGTGTGTGTGTGTGTGTGTGTGTGTGTGTGTGTGTGTATGTGTGTATGTATGTATGTGTGTGTACCCCTGTGTGCTACGGAAAAGTGGAGAGGTACTAAGAGAGTTGTTGGTGGACAGGGAAAACTTTCCTAAAGAAAATATTACTATTTTTAATTCACAACACTTGGGGTTAAAAGTAAAATGGTAGATTTTCAAAAAATATGTTTTTATTGAGTTTTAGAGAGAGAGGAAGAGAGAGGAACATCATTGATCAGCTGCCTCCCGCACACCCCCTACTGGGGATCAAGCCTGCAAACTGGGCTTGTTCCCTGACTTGGAATCAAACTAGTGACCTCTTGGTTCCTAGGTCAACATTTAACCGCTGAGTCACACCTGCTAGGCAAAGGATAGCTTTTTAAAAAGAGTCATTTTCAACCACCTAGACTCATCACACAGAGCCCTTTCTAAATTCATTTCTATCTTTATCCTCATCTTTCCACTCTGGTCTACTTTTCAGTCATATAAAATGATTAATTTATACTTTAATTACTTTTAGCTTAACACAAAGCTTAAGCCATTTATTCATAGGAAATTACCTTGTTTTTTTTTCTTTTCAATATGGTTTCTTAAATGTGAACTGTCGTATGTAGTCAACATTTTTTTTTTTTAATGGTGAAAAGACCTTTAACGGTTAGCTGTGTATGGCTGGAGAACTGAGTGGGGACATGCGTGCTTAGAAGGCCTGCTGGAGCAGATTCTATGAAGCCCTGCTTCCCTCCGCAGTCCATCGTAACTGGCTGTGGAAGTTTGGGAAGTGCCCGTGGTCTGTTAAAAGACATGGTCGTGGGTGGATGAGGCTTCCTTATGCGGGTCCGGTGTGGTCTGCATGAGGCGCTCTCCTCTCTCACATCCCTTCTGGGGGCTGGAGACATCGGGCTCAGGACTCCTACAGAAGATAGGCTTTATGTGATGCACTGGTTTCTGGGCTGTGTATCAAATATGAATGGAATGAGCTAGATTATGGACTGTTGTCCTGTGAGTGTGTCACTTGGAACCCAGGATCATCGCTGGTGGTGTGTAATAGATGTCGCAACATTGCATCTCCACACCTCAGGCCTGCACATGCCAGTCCTTCTTTCTAGAACACCCTTTCACTGCTTCCTGTCAACTTTATATTTCCCCCCCAAATCTGGGTCAAATGTCATCACCCCACATTTGCTCAAACAGAATAATTCATTACCTTTCCTGTTCGCCCGTAACGACTTGTTTATATTTCATCAGTTTTATGTCATTGTATACATGTTTTCACCTATAGACGACATGCTCCTAATGGACCAACATTTTGCATTTGATGTATTTAGTATGTTAGTAGCATGTAGTGAACACCTGCAAACTTTTGCTGAGTCAATAAATGATTGTCAACTCATTTGGAATTAAAGAATGGATGAAAGAACCTGGTACTTGTTATTTCTAAGCACAATGTTTGTTTAATTTCTTACCAGCTTATAATTGGGGGCATATTTCTTGGGGCATAAGGACCATCAGATGAGGTTTTGAAATACTTCCTAAAAATATTCTCAGTGAAAACTCAAGGAATATTTTTTTCTGAGTAATTAAAAGTAGATAATCTTTTCATCTATATAGAACTCCCCTCACCCCCCAAAATTCTTGGTAAGACTCTCAAGGTATTTCATAATCAACCTCCTTCATTTCCAGCCTATTTTCCCGAGGCTCCTGTTCCTGCTTTAGCAAATATCTTCCTATTTTCTGTACAGATTGCATATTTTTCTACCTTACTGATCATGCCCAGGTTTTTTTCCTAACTCTCATCTCCGCCCACTAACCCTCTCCACTTCTGCCCACTGCAATACCACTGCACCAGGCCATTCAAGGCGTGGCTGACATGTTATCTTCTCTGATAAACCCCCTTTAGCTTCCCGGTTGGAATTAATCTTTTTTAATGATTCTTAAAGAACCTTTTAAAATCTTATGAAATGAATTACAGTATACTAATCTAAAAAAAAAAAAAATTACTTCTGCTTCCAAGTACTCCATTGTTTTTACCTAAATCAATATTATAAACTTCATGAAGTCCCAAAACTCCAAGTCTTTTTCTAAAGTTAATATATCTCATAGTAATGTCATAAGTGTCTTACTGCTTTAGCTAAATTTGTTCAAGAGAAGAAATAGAATAACTCAGTAGAGCATAAAAAATTAAGACCTTTATAACACACGGCACAACCTTACATTAGTCATCACGTTCTGCCTTGAGTTATAGATGCAATTATTCTAAGAATGCTGCAGTTAAAAAGTACACTAAATGTGAAGTTAAAATGAATTGATAAAATGGTAAATGTATTTAGAAGCAAATGAAGCCAGCTGAAGTTTTTATACTATTTTTTTAAGCACAGATTTCTGAAATCTTACAAACTATTTTTTATAGAATAACCATTGTTAAAGTTCTTAAGTAAATACTTGTAATATAATTTAAATTAGGGAAAATTTATTCCATTCTGCAGTTTAAACAAATAGAATTCCAAAGTTTGAAACCTCTTAAAACTTTATGAACTCTTATAATGAAAGATAAATAGTATATATTAGTTTACAAAGAATTTGCATATTTCCTATTTTCCCCAGCAACCCTGTGATATAGGTAGAGATTATCATACCTAATTTCTTTAGTGAGTAAATCAGTTCAAGGAGTTTAGGTTCATCAAAATCAAATATTAAGTGGTAAAAACAGGATTTGAACTCAGGGTTGCTCAGGGTTTTTCTCATTCTAAGTACAGAAATGTTTCCAGAATACTGTGAATCTCAGATCTCCTGGCTTGTTGGAGTAGGCCATCAAAAATTTTGAAGTAGCTTTTTCATTTTCATTTTTTATTACAATATTAAAATTTTTTTTTCATAACCTGTCATTACCCCTCTCCCACGCCACCTCTACCCCCCCCCCCCCCACACACACACACAAACTCATTCATGCCTTTTGTTACCTTAAAGTTTTCCAATGAGCTTCTGGCATGGCTGTCCTTGATCTGAATTATCAACATGAAACTTTTCTTTGAACTTTCTAATTTCATTTACTAGTAAAATTTTCAGCTTTTTCTTCCTATTTAGCGATAGTTTGGCAAATAAAATTCTTATCAATATATTGCAAATGCTTCTATGCACATGTATTTATTTAATGGTCATTGAGATTTGTGAGCTTAAATAAAGGCTGAAAATGTGGTTTGTATGATCTTCTATTAAAAAATACACTTGAGATTTTCCTAAAGCATAAAACAAAGGTTGATTTAACACAATTAGTTTAGGATTCTTCAGAGAAAATGTGCTTTAGATTGTTAAAAAAAAATTTTTTTTAAAAGAGAACTCCTGAGGTATATGACATAAGATAAATTCAAAGGTATTTGATAGTAAATTCTAGCTTCCACAAGGATTATAATGAAATTGTTTTCTACTAGGTTTATTTGATAAAAAACAAACAAACAAAACAAAAACAAAAAAAACTGTCCTAATACAAATAATTTTGTCTGGTCCTCTGGAATGAAGGATAACACACTAGGCTTTACCCAAGTAAGCAATAAAGTTATCACACAGCTATCATTTATATTGAGTGTGTGGAAACCAAGTACTATTCTAAGCATTTTCTGTATATTTCCTAATTAAATCATCATAATAGTTCTATCATAGTAGTAGCTTTACTATTACTATCCCATTTTTCTAGATAAGGAAGAAGACATAGTAAGTGATTATAGTGAAAGATCTTCAAATTTTTTATCAACAAAGGAAGTTTAAGGACAGTATAGTAGATTTGTTACAAAGAGAAACAGCTCTAAGAAAACTAATTTTGTGTATAGATCTATACTTATGAAATAGACAGGTATAGGCAATTTGGACATTTTATGCTTATAAATTGTTGGTTCTAGAAGAACCCGGAGAACATTTGAATTGATAAGATTTGACTAATAGACATAACAATTGTAAAAGTGAAACAAAAATGAAACATTATTTTTAAACAAACTGCTTATTAAAGGCAGGGAGAGTGTTAGTAAAGAGCTTAGAGGCTAGATTAGAAAGAAGAAATTGTCTCTCCCCATCTGTTCTAATTAGCTTATCTCTCCTGCTTCCATAGCATGCTGAAGAGAGAAGAGTGAGGGGTGCTTTGAAAGGATACCGTTTTTATTTACGCTCATTTCAAATAGTTTTGGGATGTTTGCCAATTCTCAAACATAATTTTTTTATATGTTAGATCTTTCCTGTAACAATTTTTTATTGGAAGCTTCAAGGCTTTGGTGCTCAGTTAAGAATTTTGGCCTCTCCTCATCTCTTTGGTTTTGGCCAAATGATTATGTTTCCTCATTCTGGGAAGATTTCTTTGGGTATTTTGATATTTGTCCTGATAGAAGAAAACCTTTCATCTTTTACAGGTACTTTAAAATTGACATTTTTATTTTTTTTCTTATCTGTAATGTATTCTCTCTAAAAATAATATTTGATGTGACTGTTATAAGAAATTGAATCAAATACTACTCTATTAATCTTTGATATTAATTCATTTAAACTATTATAAAAGCTCTCCAATAATTTTGGTTTTCCTCTTCGTTAGTATTTCCTGGCTCAAACCTTACTTTCTTTTAATTCTTGTATTGAAATTGGATGTATACTTGACTTCAAAAACTAACAATCTCGAAATGAAGGAGTAGAAGTTAAATGGAGAGAAGATTGAATACTCCTCTCCTCCTTGGGCACACATGTCTATCTGAAATTGATTTGAAAAATCCTAATGTGGCACAAATGTCAGTTTTTTTTTGTTACCTTTCAGTTTTTCTTTGTTACCTTTCGTACTGTCTCTTCATTTATCATCAGAAGCCTTGTTTATGCCTTCACTCTGTAGCACAAACCAACTTATCTTTAGAAGAAACCCAAGAACCCACGAGTGCAATTTCTTTTCTCCCGGCTGAATCAGAATCCGCAGACTCTCCCCTGTCCAGTGGAAACAAAGGGCCTCCGGAACACAGAGAAGCCGCGAGGCACTGGTTGCTAAGAAGAAGGCGATCCACTCTGTTTCCTGACGGAGTAAAGGTCTGCCCTGATGAGAGTGTCACAGAGGCCGAGGCAAAGCATGTGAAATATTTTCAAGTCAGAGGTAAGCAAACATCCGAATCCTTGGGCTCTGTAATGGCATATAAACATGGCTATCACCTTTGTTGTATCTCATATTATTTCACAATTTGTGATCATTTAGGTAGGGACTGAGCTAAACATCTTTCTACCAGCTATGGAAAAGGGACTTGCTAAGAATATAGTATTTGTACACCTTTATAGGAAAGTTGACATTTTTTTTAAAAGAGGAAATGATTTAACTCTTTTAAAAATATATATATTTTTGATTTTTTTTTTTACAGAGAAGAAGGGAGAGGGATAGAGAGTTAGAAACATCGATGAGAGAGAAACATCAATCAACATCCCCCAGTACGGGATGTGCCGCAACCAAGATACATGCTCTTGATCTGAATGGAATCTGAGACCCTTCAGTCCGCAGGCCAAAGTTCTATCTACTGAGCCAAACCAGTCAGGGTGATTTACTTCTTTTTAAGCACTTTAAAAATATCAGTTTATGTTATGGGATAAATGAATTATAATTTTTACTTCTTCATTACAGTAATTTGCCTAAATATACCTACAAAATATATTTATGAAGCTATACTTACCCATTTGACTAATTAGTTACTTTATATATATAAAATATCAATTTCAATATTTTATAGTGTAGACATTCTACAGACTCATGCTGGTTACTTGGTTGGTACACATAAAAATTTGACATCTAAAATGATGGCATTACTCATAATAGACCTTATTGTAACAAAAGTAGGATTTTATTTTACTTTTAGCTAAACAGTGTTATCCTTGATTTCATATCTTTTTATTATTTAAAGTCATTCTCTGTTTCCTCTGTTTACTAATCAAAATTGCCTGATTGGCCATTATATATCCCTTAGATATTTGGAGGGTTCCCAAACTCTGCCTTTTGTCCCTCAATAACCAACAAAAAGCCATAAGATAGATGTGATGCTAGTAAATTAAAGTGGAGAAAGATGAGAAATGATGGTGAAAACAGGCTTGTTCATTCATGTTTAAATATTCAATAAATGTTTATTTAGCATTTTCTTCACTCTGAGCTTCTACTTTATCTTCTCCTTATTTTCCTCCATTTTGTCCTTCCACTTGTCCTCCCTCACTAAAGCAAGTGTCTTAAAAAAAAAATAATAGATATTACATATATTTATATATTTGTTTTTTTGTTTGTTAAAGGGGCATAATGTGTTAGCACCTTTTTTTTTTTTTTTTGAGAATATATCTCTTGATTATATTATATTTGGGACCTATCAAACATTACTAATCAACTAGAGGCCCAGTGCATGAAATTTGCATGAGGGGGTGGGGGAGTCCTTAAGCATGGCCTGCACCCTCTCCAATCTGGGACCCCTCAGGGATCAGGCCTAAACCAGCAGTCTGACATTCCTCTCCCAATCCAGGACTGCTGGCTTCTAACTGCTCACCTGCCAGCCTGCCTGATCAACCCTAACCACTCTACCTGCCTGCCTGGTCACCCCTACTCACTCTACCTGCCTGCCTGGTCTCCCCTAATCACTCTCCCCTGCCTACCTGATCCCCCTAACCACCTCTGCCTCAGCCCCTGCCACCATGGCTTTGCCTGGAGGGTCGTCCAGTCTAATTAGCATATTATCCTTTTATCGGTATAGCTGGTTACTGAGCAGTGAATTCTGGGAAACATGGGGAAGTGGCTCTATGATTTAAAGACCAGGGATTAGACAGGAAGCTGGGAGGTCCGGTCTCACTCAGCAAAAGACGGTCCTTGGATCATGGGCGAGGCCTGGACTGTGTTTAGGTCTGAGGAGCCTTCCTCCTCCAGGCACCACTTGCTCAGTGACCTCCTGCACACCCCCGACCCGGGTTCAAACCCACAACCTTGCAATGTACGGGACAAAGGTCCACTGCCCTGCCACCCAGCCAGGGCAGTATTCTTGGCTTTTCTTTGTCTTTTCTTTTTCTTTCTTTTCTTTTACTTTTTACTCTTTTTATTAAATCTTTATTGTTGAAAGGTTTACATAGGTCCTCTTTTCCTCCATTAACCTTTTCCAGCCTACTACCCCTCCTCCCCCCAGGCCCTCACCACTCCATTGTCTGTGTCCAGGGGTGATGCATATATGTACACAAGGCTATTGGTTGATCTCTTCCCACCCACCCACCCACCCACCCTCCCCTGCCTTCCCTCTGAGGTTCCACGGTATGTTCATGTGTCTGTGTCTCTGGGTCTATTTTTGTTCATCAGTGTATTTGGCTCATTAGTTGTTAAAAGTGCTCTGGTTGCACTTGGGTTTCTAAAGATACAGTCATATCACGTACAAATCTTTTTTCTTTTTCCAAATGTACTTGTGGACACATTGGGAATATAGATAGAAGTCTGAGAATAAGTTGGGAATAGGATGCTTTCATTCAGTGACATTGTGTACATGATCCTGTGCTCCTGCCGAGTTGAGAACACTGAGCACTGTGGCTGCAGGGAGGCTCTCATTGGCAACTCACCCACATGGAGCCATGCCTCCCTCTCCATCAGCCGCAGCTCCCAGGGCACATGCATGCACCCCTCAGCAGAGGTGGGGCACTTGGCCACCTCTGCAGGCTTGCCCCCTGTCATCACCCTGTGGGGCCCACATTCTGCATATCACCCTCTTGATCCTACTCCCAGGCCTTTCCATGCACTTCCTCTCACCCTGCCCCCTCCCTCCTCCTGTCACGTCCGGAGCCCCAGGTGCTGTCCCTGTGAGGTCTGTGACACTCCCTACCGGGCCGTTTCATCTTATTCCATGGCAACCAGTGTTTCTTCTGCCTCGTCAACTTGTTTTGAATCTGAAAGGAAATGGCTCCATCTTCTATTTCTTTTGTGTCCTTTCCACCCCTAGGTTAATGTCGTGTCCTTAGTATGTGGCTATGAGATGTCTCTGTGTCTGAGCTGGGAAACCTTTCACAATTCTCTTTCATCTCAGGATAACTGAGCTCGGCGATTTGTGTGGGACTGAAGGCCCTGGAAATACAATGCTGAGCCCTCTGCACTCATTTTATTCTTTATTGTATTATTTGATTCCTGGGGTTGAAAGCAGAAGAAAATATGCCCTCTGTGAGAAAGCCGCCCTCGAGTTCTGCCTGATGCCAGACAGTCCAGGTTCCCTCCTGTATGAGTCTGGATCCCCAGAGTCCCACCTGGAATTGGAGTTCAGAGCAGTCAGGAGTTAGTGTCTCCTTCCCGATTGAGAAAGACAACAGCGCACTCAGTTGCCAGCCCTTTCCGCGTGCTTTTGTATCTCTGTACTTCACTTCTGTACCTCTGCTCCTCAGTGTGCTTTTCTCTTTCCTTCTAGTTGTAGAATTTCCACTCAGCCAGCCTTCCCATAGTTCTTTATACCTGTTTAGTCTTTTAGTTGTAGTTTTGAAGTGGTTGTGTGAGGCAGCAAGTTCAGGTGTTTACCTATGTCACCCTCTTGGTTTCTCTGTTGTTATAATTTGCATCTCATGGATGATTAGTGATTTTGAGCATTTTTCCATATGTCTCTTGGCCTTATGTATGTCCCCTTTGAAGAACTGTCCATTTTTAAATTGCATTATTTGTCTTCCTTTTGTTAAGTTGTAGGAGTTCCCTATAAATTTTAGATAGTAACCTCTTATCAGATGTATCATTGGCAAATAAGTTCTCCCATGTACTGGGGACTCTTTTCATTTTGTTGATGGTTTCTTTTGCTATGCAGAAGCTTTTTATTTTGATGTAGCCCCATTTGTTTATTTTCTCCTTAGTTTCCTTTGCCCTAGGAGATGTATCTGTAAACATATTGCTACAAGACATGTGTGAGATTTTGCTGCTTATGGCTTCTTCTAAGATTTTTATGGTTTCTCGACTTTCATTTAAGTCTTTTATCCATTTTGAATTTATTATTATGTATGATGTAAGTTGGTGATCTAGTTTCATTTTTTGGAGTCCAGTTTTCCCAACATCATTTATTGAAGACACTGTCTTGACTCCATTGTAGCTCTTGCCTTCTTTGTCAAATTTAATTGAGCATGATGGCTTGGGTAGATTTCTGGGTTTTCTCTTCTGTTCCATTGGTCTATCTGTCTGTTCTTGTGTCTGTACCAGGCTGTTTTGATTACCGTGGCTTTGTAGTATAACTTGATATCTGGTTTTGTGATTCCTCCAACTTTGTTCTTTCTCAAGATTGCTGTGGCTATTTGGGTCTTTTTTGGATCTATAGACATTTTTGTAGTGTTTGCTCTAGATCTGTGAAATATGCTTTGAATGTGGATTGCATTGAATCTGTATATAACTTTGGGTAGTATGGACATTTTGATGATGTTGATTCTACCAGTCCATGAACATGGTATATTCTTTCACTTGTTTATATCGAACTCTATCTCTTTTTTCAGTGTCCTCTAGTTTTCCGAATAAAAAGGTCTTTTACCTCCTTTGTTTAGTTTCTTCCTAAATACCTTAAAGTTTTTTTTAATTTTTTTTTTTTTTTTTTTTTTATTGCAATGGGATTATAAATGGGGTTGTTCTTTTTTTTTGGTTTCTTTTTCTGAGCGTTCTTTATTGGTATATATAAAAAAAAAACACATTGATTTCCGGGCATTAATTTTGTATCTTGATACCTTGCTGAATTCATTTATTAAATATAATAGTTTTTTTTTTTTTTTTTTTTTTTTTTTTTTTTTTTTTGCAAAGTCTTTAGGGTTTTCTGTGGGGAAGCATGGGACTTATTAATAGTTAGAAAATCTGTAAGGAAAATTCTCCAAAATATCGGAGGCCTCTAGGGGGACCTTGCCAAAGGCAGTAGACCCTGCCTTGACTTTTTCAAACAAGTCTGAGTCTCTGAATGTTTTGCTGGAATCTTTATGTTTATTCTTCAAACGTCCTTATTTAAAAGACACTACAAATACATGTGTTTTCTCAAGGATACTTATCCTGCTAATAGTAGCTAATAGTTAATTTTAGTTCTTACAGGTACTATTGCTAAAACAAAAGCCTAAGAAGACAGGCAAATGGGGCTCTCAGATTCCTTTAGCCACCTAGTCCCTTTGCCCTCTCATTCACAGAAACATATGCCAAAATAATCATTCCTCTGACAGTCACTCATGGTCTGTCAGTCAGCCCCAGCAGTTTTCTATGTACAATATCATGTCATCTGCAAATAATGACAGTTTTACTTCCTCCTTTAAAATTTGGATGTCTTTTATGTTTTTTTTTCTTGTCTGATTGCTATGGCTAGGACTTCTATCCAGTACTGTCTATACTAATAATAGCCTAGGGCTGTCATGACCAGACGGACAACTGGTCACCATGAGGGGACCCCTCTTGGATAGGGGGCATAGCTGACCTTCAAACCACCGGTGGCCTCTAGCCCAGGCTGGCCCAACGCCCCAGAGGGCATCCCCACCACGAATGGGGGCGCTGCTGGCCTGTAAACCATTGGCAGCTGCTCGCCCAGGCTTGAGCAGCACTGGGGACCAGGTGTGTATGGTGTAGTCTTTAAAAGACAAAGAAAGGGCAGCTTCTGGAAGTGCAGTCACCAAGACGCAGCTCTGCGCCGATGCACTGAGCCCACCACCAGGCATGGGAAAGTGGAGTCCGGGCAGGAGCGGCCCAAGTGCTTGTGGCCGGGTGGCCTTGGGGGGCCGTGCAGATGGACAGACTGCGCTGGACGGCACTGGTGGGCTGCCTGGAGGGCCGCAGAGATATGGAGCTGTTAGGGAGGTGGCCCTTGGGGTCAGCGAGGCTGGGGTGCCAGGAAGGCCCCAGGTCCTGGGTGCTGCTGGGGTTGGGATGGGGTTGGGGGTGGGGAGAGCATGGCTGTCAGAGTGGGATAAAAATCCCTTCTTTCCAGAAGAATGTGGATGGTTTAAACATGCATAGAGAAACTGCTGTGGTATCAACATGGCTATGTCAGTTCCTCGAGTTGCCTGCCGGTGCCAATTGCAGGCTTCACCGTGGGGCGTGGGCCAGGATGTGGCCAGGACGTGGCGTTGGCAGTCAGACTCACCCCCGGTGTCATCTCAGCGTCACGACTTCACGATGTCACCCTCAAGTGGCCATCGCTGTGGTCTGTGGGCCCCGTGAGCCGGCACTGTGCATGCTCCGGGCAGTGCTCTCCTTTGGAAAGGACACCGGATGTGATGGGTGCTGTTGATTCCGTAAGGTTCAAACAGGGCCTGAACTTGCTTACCACACGTCCTTTTCTCCGTATTTTACCGCAGTCTTCTCGGGCTCAGGGAACCGGCAGCCACTGGAGCGCCAGCGTGGCCGTCCCACACAGCCAGACACCACAGGAAGCACAGAAATGCCAAAGCCCCAAAGGGGACCCATCGCAAAACAGACCCAAGTTCACATACTGGAGGGGAAACAAGAAAACAGTGGCACCTGCTGGACCTCAGCGCCAACTTGGCCATCCCAACAGGAAGCACAGAAATGCCCAAGTCCCAATGGGACCCATCACGAAACAGACCCCAGTTCACATACTGGAGGGGAAACAAGAAAACAGTGGCACCTGTTGGTCCTCAGCTGAGACAGTGCCTATGGGTCTGTCTGCAGGGTTTCTGCACCCTGGTCATGGCCCAATGGCTGAGGAAGCGCTGCAAGCCTGGATTCTTGAGTTATGTATCCTAGCAAGTAGGCAGGTGCACAAAGGTGGAGTTGAAAATAGCAAGGTTAGACGGTGTGTGTGTGCATTTACACTCATATATGCCCATTTCCCCAGTCTTTTTCTGAGCTGTTTGCGAGCATGTTCTACACATGACATGATGCCCAGATATTCCCCCGAGTATTTCTCAAAAGCAGATACTCCTACATAACAATTCTCCATCCAACCACATGAGGAAATCTCCATTCAAACAGAATTCCCCATTTGAATTCTGACAACTGTGTCAACAATGATCCGCACCCCAGGGTCCCATCCACCGGGCCCACATGTGACTCCCAGGCCGCGGTTTTCCACGCTCTTGACCAATGAGTTTGCAACCACTGCCTTAGGGAAAAACACTTAAAAACACTTTAATAATGTATTATGTCTTTAACCTGAAGTCAAAATTTAGGGCAGGTCCTCTGACATTCCTGTCCCTGACAGTTTTTCAGTTTTAATTAAAAATCATAGACTTTTGCTCTAAAAAGAAAAAGAAAAAAAAATAATAATTCATACTTCACATTTCTGATTTTGATTATTTGGGTACTCTCTCTTTTTTGTTGATAAGTCTGTCTAGAGGTTCATCAATCTTGTCTATTTTTTCAAAGAGCCAGGTCTTGGAGGTTTTATTGAGCTTATGTATTATTTTTTTAAGTCTCTATGTCATTTATTTCAACTCTGATCATTATTATTTCCTTCCTTCTACTTACTCTGGACTTTTCTTGTTGTTCTCTTTCTAATTCTTTAAGTTGTAGGGTTAGATGGCTTATTAAACGATTTTCTTGCTTTTGAGGTAGGCCTGTAATGCTATGAACTTCCCTCTCAGGATTGATTTCTCTGTGCCACATAGATTTTGGGTTTTTGTGTATTCATTTTTATTTGTTCCTAGGATGTTCTTTATTTCTTTCTTACATGCTTTATAGCTTCCATGTTGTCATATTATTCTTAAGTAAAGTGTGTAATTTTCAGTAGGATTTACTCTTTGTGTTATACATTATGTGGGTTTTGACATATGTCTAATGATATGTATTCACTATTACATCATTATACAAAATTGTTTTACTGTCCTAAAAATCCCTCTGCCCTCTATCTAGTCATCTCTCCTTAATCCTAAACCCTGGCAACTACTGATCTATTTATAATTTCCATAGTTCTACCTTTCCCAGAATGTCATCCAGTTGGAATCATACATTCAGATTGGCTTCTTTCACTTAGCAATAAGTAGTTAAGTCTTCATGTCTTTTCATGGCTTGAAAGCTAATTTCTTTTAATTGCTGAATAATATTTCATCATATGGATGTACCACAATTTGTTTATCCATTTACTTATTGAGGTATGCCCAATATCAGCTCCACTTTTGTAAAACATAAAAATTGATTTTTTTAGAGAGATGGGAAAACACACACCCTGCATATTTGAAGGTGAACCAACCCCCTTTGCAAGGGAGAAGTGTGGGGAATGAACATTCTCTGCAGAGCTGAAAAGGTAAAGCCGGACATGCAGAAAGCGTAGAGCTTTGACTGAAAGTCATTTCCATGTCCTTCCAAAAAGGACACTGTGGGCAAGTGAACACACAGGCCCATGATCATCGTGAGAACCCCAAAGCCCATCAGCCTTTCTGTGAAACACCTGTCCGTCTGTTTTCCAGTGTGTCAAGAAGCTGTCTGGGAAGCCTTTAGGACTTTTTGGGATCGATTTCCTGGGCGTGAGGAATATCGTTACTGGATGAATTTATGTGAGGATGGAATCACAACTATATTTGAATTGGGCACAAATTTTAGTCAGTCTATGGAACACAGAAGCTTAATTATGAAGGTAAGTATAATAAAAAGGGAAGGAATTGTAGGGGTTAGATATATAGCTAGGGACTGAAGGAAAAGAACAAGTGTTAAATCCCTGCATCTACTCTGATTTGTTGCATTAGGCTATTTTAGTGAGCTGCCATGGGGCATGGCCTAGTCTCTGTAGCCCTAGCTCCAGCCATTATAATAAACTGTTAATTCAGTATGAGTCTCAGCAATGTTTATAAATGTAAATATTTAAAATAGTACTTGGAAAAGATTTAGGCTAAGAGCATAAATCTCCGAGAGTTGTTAAATTCCTTAGCCTATATCACAAAGCCAGATGGCTGGAGCTGAAATTCAGACCCAATTCTCTTCCGAAATTCATGTTCTTTTCCTTAAACCAGTGGTCAGCAAACTCATTAGTCAACAGAGCCAAATATCAATAGTACAATGATTGAAATTTCTTTTGAGAACCAAAAACTGACTTCTGCGCATGGGCCACAAAGTTTCAATCGCACTGTACATGCGCACCTGCACGTGGTATGTTGTGGAAGAGCCACACTCAAGGGTCCAAAGAGCCGCATGTGTCTTGCGAGCTGCAGTTTGCTGACCACTGCCTTAAACCATGGGGCCCTCCTTTCAGTCATTTTACACATTTTAGTGGCTAATATGGAATGGCTGTTCAATAACACACATTTGTATCAGCATTGTCCATCTCATTGAGTTCCTGATAGGCAGCAAATATTTAGGATGTAGAGTTATCATTACCATAACAAAAGCCTCTTGTGACATCACATTTTTGTCAATTCAGTGCCAATAGAGATCTAAAATTTGGGGTTCAGTGAAGAAAGAAACTTTATTTACTGTAAAACAGCATGGCTGTGAGGCTGCTTTGGGGCCAGGTGGGCCTGAGGTTGGGCCCCTCTCTGACTAGACAGCTTTGCTCTGCTCCTCCCTCGTCTGCTCCGGCAAGAGATCTTCAGTGTTTCCACTCAGCCTGGGAAATACACTCTTTAGTGAAAGGGAAAATGTGCTCCCAGAGCCAGAGGGGAGCTGACTGACATAGACAGAAGTTCCCACCCCTGGTCCTTGGTCCCTGATTGGTCTGTCTTCATGCAAATCCTTGCAGCTTCATGGGCCCAAAAGGCACTGTCTTGATTGGTTAGAATGGAGCCCCTATGATTGGTTGACAAAGAAGCTGGGGGGGGGGGGGAAGGTAATATACAATAGTTTGTGTTTAACTCTCTAGAATCTAAAAATATCTAGGCTAGATCATAGGAAACCATTGAAAGGTTTTAAGTAGGTGGGTCACAAGGGCTGACTTGACAGCTTTCCACTTTAAAAAGGCCACTATAGTTTCTATATACTGTAGGATGGAATTGAGGAGACAAGACTAGAGCAGAGACCAGGTTGGATGCTGCTTCAGTGTACCAGGCCCAAGGGGATGTGGGTCCTAACTCAATCTTGAGATAAAGGGTACACAAGAGATATGTGGGAAACAAGACTAGTCATGTCTAGTTTTGTTTGGATTAAAGTCATGGGCTGATGAGAGAGGGACAGGATTAAGGAGGGTCTAAGAAGCCTCCCAGTTTCTAGCTCGGATGATTGAATGATAACTTAGGCAGGGAAGCAACTTTGTAGAGGGTGGGTGGAGGGAGAATGAGTCCACTCTCAAATGTGTTGATCTGAGCCATGTGTGAAATATGAATTAACTTGATATGTAAGTATGAAGATATGGAGAGTGCTCAGGGTTATAAATATAGCTAGAAGAATCACCAGCTTTGAGGTGGTAATTAAAACCATGAGAGTGGCTGAGATTATCCTAGGAGAATCTATAGAGTAAGAAGAGCAGTGAATAATTTATAAGTATCAGAGTTATTTAGAGTAATGGTCTTCCCATTTTGCAGGTGAGGAAACTGAGAATTTGCTTCTATGGGACTTGAAACTAGGTTTTCTGACTTCTAGTTACTAATGTTCTTTTTTTTTTTTTTTTTTTTTTTTTAATCATATTGGTCTCAAAAGAAAACCACTAATTTAGAGGAAATTTGGAGACAATTTGCTTTGGAATGAGACAGAGACATAATTCTATAATTTATAGAATTTGTCTTTTTTGTCTGAATTCTGGAGAAGAAGTTTTGTCAGTTATTTTATCTACATGTTCATATTGTTCTGGGATGAGATTTTCTATAAATATGTTAGATCACAAAATTCTTTGATTCTAAGACCACGAAGGTTAAGGTAAAGCTCTACCAATCTCTGATTTATAGACAATCTTGGAGTGAGGAGCAGGTAAAGTCTGTTAATCTCTGCCCATTAAAAGAGAGCACAGGTACTTTTGGGAACATAAACAGAGACTGCACATAGGGGTGTTCTCAGTCACAAACAAACTTGGCCTCATCAGTACCTCGCTTTACCTATTTGTCTAACCAATGAGAATAATAACATAGATTCTATAATGTTAAGGCATTTGGCTCTCTATGCCAAAAGTCTTATTTACAGCTTATTAACTGTCATTAACTTACATAAGCTTTTCTTTTTCATCTTTGTTTTTCTTAGAAACTGGCATACACAAAGGAAACTGTTAGCCGGTAAGTGTCTTTTTCCTCCTTAAGTTCATGTTTGGCAACAGAGGTGTATCATACTTATTCCAAGACTCACTCCAAATTTAATGGCCGCTTTCTATCTTTTTGCCAGCTCCTGCAATGACCAGGCCTGTGGGTAAGTCCCAAATGCTTTTTCCTCACCTTGAGACCACTCCCCTTCCCAGACCACCACCACAGCCACTGCACTGGTTTGCTGTCTGACCTTACCAGGAGGCAGGCTTGTTGCTGTCTCTTGGGTGAGAAAATACCTAATAGATGTCTGGAAATGAAATATGGAATGACCTACTGTTGTTGAGCCTTTCAGGCTAATGATAAAATTGATCTGAAATGGCGCACCTTAGTGGAGGATAGCTTATTAAAGGATGGGTGGTGGTGTGGATCATTTTATGGAGGAATGATAATAATGATTTTGAAGTATTGGAATAGCCCAACCTTGATGACTCCTCCAGCGTTATGAATCTTGGCTTCATTGGTCTTTAGGTTTAGAGAGAAGGTCATTCCTGGCTCCTGAGCAGTAGCAGGAAAAATACACTGAGTGGCCAGATTATTATGAACTTTGGACGCATAATAGTCTGGCCACTCAGTATATTATATATATATATATATATATATATATATATATATATATATATATATATATATATATATATATATATATATATATATATTAGAGGCCCGGTGCATGAATTTGTGTATGGGTGGGGTCCAGCCAGCCTGGCTAGGGCAGGGGACATGGGCAATTGGTAGACCTGCCTGCTGGTTGAACTCCTGGCCAAGGGAACAATTTACATATTAGCCTTTTATTATATAGGATATACACTGAGTGACCAGATTATTATGTGTTCAGAGATCATAATAATCTGGCCATTCAGTGTATATAGGTCATGAAAAATGAGAGATTTTGAGCCTACAGGTATTAAAGATTTCCACTTCTATCTATACTCAGAATATCTAGATTATGCCAGTATATGAGTGATTATTTAGAAAAGCACCGCTAGGGCATGCAATCCAGGTCAGAGTCCAGAAGTTTGCCTCCAATGAAAGGGAAAAGCATTGGAACAACCACATAGGTGAGTCAGTGTCCAGAGATCCAATCTTGACAGCAGAGTCCTGGAGAAAGCAAAGCTGTGGTGTACATGTGGGAGGTAGTGTGGTACACGAACGTTTCAAATCAAACATGAGTAAATATGAGGGAAATAGTACCCTTTGTGGTCCCACGTATTCATTCATCTAATGTTACCACTGAGTCTATGCTGGGGCCTGAGACTGAGCACCTACTTAGTTGTGGACCATATTGTTTCCTGAGTGTGGACTCTTCACCGCTGAGAGGCAGAGCTTCTTGTGATGCTCTTTGTGATGCTCTTCTTGTGATTGCCACCCACAGGTGGTGGGCTAAGTCTGGTGAGTCCTGTCAGTGCCAGTAATCTTTATGGTTTGTAACTGATAAAAATGATAGCATGTATTGTAGATCTTATATGATTAAGAAGTACCTAAATACTGAATAAGTAGGGCTCTTAACCTGAAGAAGGATTAAGGTTTTCAAGTATATTTTTTATTGATTTTAGAGAGGAAGGGAGAAGGAGAGATAGAAACATCAGTGATGAGAGTGAATCATTGATTGGCTGCCTTTTGCCTTTTGCACTTCCCTGTGGTCAGAATTGAACCATGATCTCCTGGTCCAGAGGTGGACCCTCAATCACTAAGCTGGGCTGCTATGTGTTGTTTTAAGCTTTCTCTACTGTCATCTGCCAAGTATCTTTAAAAAAGAAAAGAAAAGAAAAAAAAGCATTTCCCACCTTACTCATAAAATTCGTGCAAGGGTGTGGGGACTCCCCTCAGCCCAGCTTGCACCCTCTCCAATTTGGGACCCCTCAGGTGATGTCTGACTACCAGTTTAGGCCCGATCCTAAGATAGTCGGCTATCTCTTACAATCCTGAACTGCTGGCTGCTAATTGCTCACCTGCCTGCCTGCCTGGCACCCCTAATTGCCTACTCCTGCTGGCCTAATTGCCCCTCACTGCCTCTGCATGCTGGCCTAATCACCCCTAACGCCCCCCCCCCCCCCCGCTGGCCTGGTCACTCTCAACTGCCCCCCCCCCCCCACTGGCCTGGTCATCCCTCATGCCCCCCCTGCTGGGCTGGCTGTCCCACACAGCCTGCTATTCAGTCATTTGATCATACCTCACTAACCCCTCTGCCGGCCTGATTATAGGCAGCCGTTTTGTGAGGACATGATGGTCAATTTGCATATTACCTCTTTATTATATAAGATTCCCTTTAGTATTTAAACATGCTCAAGTCTCTGCCACATGACCTATTTTACAAATGGCCTTTACTCCAGCTCTTGTCTTTGTTACAACCAGATATCTTTTTTTTTAAAGTCTTTAATGTAAAGTATTACATTATGTCCACTTTCCTCCCCCCCCCCCCACCTTTGACCACCTTCAGCCTGCTCCGCTCCCCCAGGACTTCACCACCCTATTGTTTGTGTCCCCAGGTTATGCATATATGCATGTAAGTTCTTTCAACTAGACATCTTGAAGGCAGCTCCATGTGGTTCCAGTTGCTGCTTAACCCCCTGCTATAGGGTCTTACATATCCTAATAACCAGTATAAAGCTCAGTTTAAGATATGTGCTCATTAAATATTTGTTAAATGAATTACTGAATTTCTACCCAATCACTCAAATTCATTATCAGACCTCTGGTGATAGTTTCAGTGTAAGGACTGTTCTTTGTTGTTGTTTTTTGCAGATGGTGGGGGGTACTTACTTACATTTTTAGTTGAGAGGGCCTATCATAGATCACAAAGACAAATATACATTTGTTAAATGTTTTATTCTGTGTGGGATGACACATGTCACTGCTTCAGTAACCCCTGTTTTCTCCTGTGTTTGTTTAGCATTTAGTACTTTTCGTACTGCTCCGCACGTGATATTTGTTTAGTTTTCACCAATGCCTTTGTGAAATAGGTAGGACAGGGAGGTGGTTCTGTTTTGGAGATGAGTCCCAGAGAAGCTGAGGTATTTTTCCAAGTCATACACAAAGTTAATTGTACATCTGGGACCAGTACCCAGGATTCCTGGCTCAGTGCTTGAGTTCTGTTGTCACATGCTGATTACAATGAACATATTTAAGAGCAAAGCAAAATATAGAAAACTGTCAAGGAGAATAGTCTTCTAGACAGGAGGTTATGCTTGGCTTGTTTCACTACATTTTTACTCTTCTGTTCCATGTGGCTGTGATATTTTCTGACACAATGCCACCTGAATTCCATGCACAGCGTTAGGCAGCAGCAGTGAGGAAGAAGTGATGTGCCGGATGAGCTGAGGAAATGAGACCACAGGGGGTTGTTTGCTGTTAGTATTAAACTAAAGGTCTTCGCTGAACAACTTCAGATTTGTGGTTTGGCTTGGAAATGAAGAAGCATTTCTGTCTCCAAACTCAACACGACTCCGTGTTCTAGTTCTGTTGTGAGTGACACACCTCAGCGGATCCCTGCAGGAGGCCTGCCTGATGAGAACCTGTGAAAAGGCTCTTGTTGTTAAGTGTTCTTTACTGTCTTTTGAAAACAGGGGGAAGGAGAGAGATTAAGTGTGGGAGTGTTAGGCAAGTACTTTCAATTATGGAAAGTTGCCTACTTACCATCATTAAAACCATGTTATTTTGAATTCAGTAATTTTTCTGAAGCAAGCACACTTCTCTGTCTGATTGCTCACGTAGAGAAGGAGCATGAATCTGACATAGATGTGGGGGGCGATTTGATCAACCCCAGGGGAGGTCTAGCTTCTCTGTGTCATCCTAGCTTCCTGTTCCAGTTACTGTGTTGTGCTTCGGTTGCTTTGCCTTCCTTTGACCTCTTTGTTCTTTCTACCTGGTGGCTGATGGCTTTTCCGCTCTCACTGGGCTTCCCTTCCTTTCTCTGGCACTGGGTGCACTTTGGCTTTTAGGCTGTTTAGTTCAGGTAGGCCACTAACGTTAAGATGAGGTAAAACCATCTTGGTTGCCCTTCTAGAGACTACTGGCCATGCGAAGGCCATGGGGTAAGGAATGAAGGTGGTAAGAGGGAGGCTTCTGGGATCAAAGGGGCCTGTTTTACATTATGGCTCTTCCCCTGGCCGGCTGTGTCACCTGAGCAAATTCTTAACCACATCCAGCTTTAGTTTCCTCACCTGTATGAGTGGGGATACTAATATCTTCCTCTTAGGATTGTTGCGAGTTCACTAAGATAAACTGTAATACTTAGCACAGAGCCTGACATGTAATGAGGGGTTAGAAATTGAGCTGTAATCATTCTTGCTGTTCTTATTATTGAAAAGGGAACTGGATGCAGTTAGAAATTTAGGCATGGCCTTGGGTTATATTGCATTCTGGGGTGACCCTGGGAAAGTGGCTTTACCCATGTGGGCCTCATTTTTTCATCTTTCACGTGAGGGCTTGTGAACAGTTGTTAGAACCTATCCAGGACTGATTATGTTAATGTCTGTTTCAAATGCATCTGAATCTCATTTTTGTTGTTGTTTTAGCTCTACCTCCTGTAACCCTTTTAAAAAATGTTTTATTGATTTTTAGAGAGAGAAGAAGGAAAAGGGAGAGAGAGAGAAACATCAATGTTAGAGTGAAACATCAATTGGCTGCCTCCTGCATGTCCCCTACTGGAGATTGAGCCCACAACCTGGCAAGTACCCTGACTGGGAATCAAACCTGCAACCTTTCAATACACAGGATGACACCTAACCAACGGAACCACACCAGCCTGTGTGCAAAAAGCCTTTAGCCCCGCCAGTGTCACTCAGTGGTTGAGCGTCAACTCATGAACCAGGAGTACACTGCCCCCGTCCCTGGCCTCTTGCCCCTGCCGGCCTTGCTCCAAAATGGGCCCGTGCCCCTGAGCGGGTGGGGCCAGCTGGCAAACCTCCTGCAGCCCCTCCCCGCAGCCAGCCCACCCCCAGTTGCCCCCCTCAGGGCGGGCTGGCTGAACCCCACCAGTGCATGAAATCATGCAGCAGGCCTCTAGTAGATAATAAATGAACAAAATAATTTCACATAGTGATAAAAACTGAGAAAAAATAAAACGGAGGAGGGATTATATAATAAGTGGGTGAGTACTTTGTATAGCAAGATTCTAATTGAGCAGGAATTGATAAATAGAAAATAAATAAAGACTATTTTTTAAAAACTTGTTATTCAGTGCTTTGATTTGGAATCCTTGTTTGAAAATCTAATGAATTCCTGCCCTGCCCAGTGTGGCTGCCGGTTTGACATCCCTGGGTTGAGGGCTCAGTCCCCCAGTAGGGGCTGGATCCCCACGGGGGCAGTGTGAGGTGTGTGCAGACATGTGCAGGAGGCAGTCAATTGATACTTCTCTCTCTAAAAATCAATAAAAAATTACAGAAAGGAAATCTAGCTAATTCCTTCTTGGGAGAAGAAAGCACCACGTAAGCCCTCACATTTCTATCATTTTATTAACCCCAAACATTTCCCCCCCAGCCCTGAGTTGTCATCTCCAGTTCCTGTTGGCGACACCTCAACATTGGAAGGTATGCCTTTTGCCTTTACTTACTTTTCTTTCAAAATTATTTATGGTTTAACACAACCTTGCAAGCAAACACTTTTCAGCTCACATTTTAAAAAATACTGTGTTTCTCTCTATATATGTGTTGTTCAAGAGCCTCAAGAAAAAGTAATTAAAAAATTTATTTTATGGCATTATGCTGTGGGTACTTAAAAACCTTTAGTTATTGAGTATGGTACAACTCAGAAAACTGCTTAAAACAAACGTGTGACCTAAGGAGTTATTGTAAGGCAAACACTCTGTAACCACTGCTCATGCCAACAGGGAGGACCTTCCGAGGCCCACCATTTGTCATTTGTCTTGTAGGGTTTCCCAGAGTTGGGAGTTTTCTGGCTGCATTCTGCTGTGGACTTTTACATGTTCCTCTGACCTCTCTGTTTCCTGAAAATCGGCAGTTGCTTCCTTTATTAATTCTTTAAAAAAGAATAGACATCTATTCGAGGCTAATTTTCCTTCTCTTTATTGGAAATTTCAAACACACACAAAGATTAGAATAGCACAAGGCCCAGTTTCAACAGTGGTCAAATCATGTCTGGTCTCCCACCTTCACCCACCTCCCCCTGTGGCAGTGCCACTTCCTGCAGTGTCTGTCCCCTTTCCTAGAGGGCTCTTCAAGGACAGGGGCTTCGTCTGGATCCCTAGCATCCTGCACGGAGCCGGACATGTACCAGGTGTTCAGAAAATGCTTGCTGAATGAATGAATCATAATAATCTCTGTTCTGGGAAGAGTCTATGCAAATGTGTCTTAAGGTTAGAATGCACAGAATTTCCAGAGTGAAAAAGTAAATGACTTATGGAAATGGCTTAGTAGTCCATTCCTTATTTCCTGATATGGATTCTGATGTGGCCGGAGACTGGACTCATGCACATGTTTTTCTTTTTCTGTTAGGTGCTGCCATCAGAGTTCCATATCCAGGGGCGACCTCCTCGGCAGGTACCGCAGAGAGCAGCTTGGGGAGACCAGAGGAGAGTGTGAGTGACGCTCTGTTTTATTCAGTTTCTAACACGGAGAACACAGCAGTAGAAATGAAGGAATTGTGAATAATCATTGGAACATTAATATCCCAAACAAAACAGGGGTTAAGTGAGGGGTTATAATGCCATTGTCAGAGTACGCAGGCATACTCTGTGGTTCCCTTGATGGAAATGTTTTGGATTCTAAAACCAGTGCATTAAAAAGATTCCTTGGAGAGTCAAGTACCCTGTTTCCCCGAAAATAAGACAGTGTCTTATATTAATTTTTGCTCCCAAAGATGCGCTGGGTCTTATTTTCAGGGGATGTCTTATTTTCCCATGAAGAAGAATACGGTACACATTTATTGTTAAATGAAAATAAAGGAGATTTATTACCTGTATACGGTACGGTAGTACGGTAGTTGTCAACATAAACCAGACAAACTGTGAATCCTATAGTATCAAGAATTTACTCATTTATTCAATGACAATCATGTCATCATCTTCTGGAACATTATCATAACAATCCAATTCCTGAATTTCCTGGTGAATTTCTTGTGACTCCATTTCTTTCAGAATCAGTGGACCAAATCTCTCATGTTTAGCATAGGGGGGCCTTATTTTTGGGGGGAATGCCTTATATTTCACTCAGAAGGAAACCTGTAAGTAGGTCTTATTTTCGGAGGATGTCTTATTTTCGGGGAAACAAGGTAAAACAGCGTTTGGTGAGAGGGGGCTTCAAATTGTAAATGAGATGACTCGGGTTCTGGGAAGTGTCCTGTGGTAAGCCCATTCACTGTCTCTTGTGGGCTACAGGGCATCATTTACTTTGGGGATTTTTGCCTGTATTCTTCTATCTGTAAATCAACCAGGACTTAGCTTCCTCTTCTTCAGGGAGAAAGTATAGAGACTTCATGTCATTAAAAAATCTAGAAACAGCTGGGACCGGTTTAGCTCAATGGATAGAGCGTTGGCTTGGGGACTGAAAGGACCTGGGTTCGATTCCGGTCAAGGGCATGTACCTTGGTTGCGGGCATATCCCCAGTAGGGGGTGTGCAAGAGGCAACTGATAGATGACTCTCTCTCATCGATGTTTCTAACTCTCTATCTCTCTCCCTTCCTCTCTGTACAAAATCAATAAAATATATTTAAAAAAAAATAAAAAAAAATCTAGAAACAGCCCTGGCTGGTTTGGCTCTGGGGATAGAGTATTAGCCTGTGGACGGAAGGTTCCCAGGTTCGATTCTAGTCAGGGCACATGCCTAGGTTGTGGGCTTGATCCCATTGTGTGGTGTACAGGAGGCAGCTAATCAATGATTCTCTTTCATCATTGATGTTTCTATTTCTCTCTCCATCTCCCTTTCTTTCTGAAATCAATAAAAATATACTTAAAAAAATCTGGGAGCACCATTCTTTTCACATACATAACCTGGACACTACAACATTAAGTTGATTTTTTTTTTTTTTTTTTACCACATTCAGATTCTTTAAAAAGTACACATGTCCAGGAAGGTAGAAATGTTTTATTAGAAATGTTGTTAAATATGTATTTTTAAATTTTGGGATTCATAAATCCTTGATTATGTAATATATAGCAAAGTCTGAATATATCCAGTAGAAAGGCACAGTTTAGTTACCTTGCACTTTCTCTTCCTAAACTTCAACATTTTAACTTATAAAATCAAATAAATCACCCACTCTGCCCCACCAGCCTCCCTGTAATCGAGCAAGGCTGGTAGCAGGTTGGGAGGCCTGAGTTGATGCCCAAATCAGGACTTTTACCTTCGGGACGCACTGTGTTCCAAGCTGATGGTGCTAAACGTATCACCACTTGAGAAATATTTGTGAAAGAATGAGTAAAAAGTGATACTGACATTCTGAACTTGAGTCAGAATAATTATGATTTAGGTTTGGAAAGTTTTATAGAATGAGATAAAATTTACTAGAGTAGAAATGAAGGAGTTAGATATAATCAATTAGAACATTAATATCCCAAATAGAAAGGGTAATTTGAAGCCAATTTATAAAACAAAACACTATAGAAATACCTAACAAGAATTAGTTCAAAATAAAACCCAAGGTACAATTTTGCATTTCAGTTTTTCCTAATATATTTTTTCATCTACCATTTCAGCAATCATATACTTTTTCTATTTTGTTTGTAGTTATACTATAAGTTATAATGTAAATTTATTTTATCAGAATTTAAATCTTTAAAAATCTTTGTCCTTATTCTGAACAATATGGGAAAATTAGAACACTGTACTTCAAATGACCACCCTACTAATTTATATTCTATTTTCAGTATTTTTGTTCTTTTTCCCCCTTTATTTTAATTTCTCTTTTTATGCCTATAAATTAAACTATACTATATTTTATACAGTAAAGTTTGTTTTACATTTGTATACACTGATAACTGATGTTTATCAATTTTTTCTTAAAACTATTTTTTTGCATGTTGCATTTTAGACATCTATTTGAGGCTAATTTTCCTTCTGAAATATATGCTCCTGATATTACTTTAGTGAGAGTCTCTCACTGGTTCAATCTCAATTTTTGATCAACTGAAAATATCTTTATTATTCCCTTATTTTAGAAAAATATTTTAAATCTGTATTAAATTATAGATCGAGGTGTGTTTTTTTTTTTGTCGAAGTTTATTTAACTATTTTCTAATTTTTATTGTTACAACTGGGAACTTAACTGTCAGTTCAGTTGTTATTCTGGTTATTTTGTCTACTTTTTTTTGAAGTTCTTTTATTGTTTTTTCTTTTGCTTATTTCTTTTTCAAGGACATTACATTCACATGGGTCTAAGAAGTACAAATATAAGAGATAATTGGTCACATATTTACCCTGTCATCTTCCCAGTTTCCACGCTACTCTACCCCTTCCCCACACCCTATCAGGCAATTACTTTTGTTATATTCTTTGAATTATTCCAGACTTTACTTTTTAAAATAGTGATTTCAGAGAAGGGAAAAGGAGAGATAGAAAACATCAAAGATGAGAGAAAACCATTGATCTGCTGCCTCCTGCATCCACTGAGATCAAGTCCACAACTTGGGCATGTGCCCTGACCTGAAATCAAACCCTGAATTCCTGGTTCTGAGGTCAATGCTCAGCCACTGAGCCACCAGGCAGGCTCCAGGCTTCTTAGAGGCACATGCAAGCAAACACAACTCCTGTTCTCCCCCAAGAGCTTCTTTAACTGGAGAGCCAGGAAGACAACAGACAGGATTGTTTTAAAAAGCAAAGTATGCGTTATTGGAAGGAACTATATGTAGTTTACGATGCAGTAAACTTAAGTGTAAATATATATCAATGAACTCTAAATAATAAATTTAGCTGCATGGGGGATTCTCTTGTTTCAGGACATTGTGATCCCTTTGAAAGGAGCTCTCTCTTTAAAAGTAGTCCTTGTCTTCTCTCTCTCTCTCTCTCTCTCTCTCTCTCTCTCTCTCTCTCTCTCTCTCTCTCTATATATATATATATATATATATATATATATATATATAGCCAGTAACCATAATAATGGTCATAATGACCATAATGATTGGTCGCTATGACACCCATGTGGCCAGTGAACTGGCCAGTTGGGGTGGGGCTGCCCAGCCAACCTCGCAGCTCCTCCCTGCTGCCAGCTTGCCCCTGATCAGACTTTCCCACCCTGATCAAGAGCTGGCTGCTAGCAGAAACCTGTTTGACTCAGTGGATAGAGCATCGGCCTGCGGACTGAAAGGTCCCAAGTTCAATTCTGGTCAAGGACATGTACCTTGGTTGTGGCCACATCCCCAGTAGGAGGTGTGCAAGAGGCAGCTGATCGATGTTTCTCTCTCATCGATGTTTCTAACTCTCTATCCCTCTTCTTTCCTCTCTGTAAAAAAATCAGTAAATATATTAAAAAAAAAAAAAAAAGAGCTGGCTGCTGTCCAAACACCTCCCCCCCACCCTCCCCGCCAGCCCTGCCTCTATCAGTCTGCCCCAGCACAATAGGCCTACAGCCCCTTCTTCCAGCCAGCCCTCCCCTGATTGCACCCCCCACACCAATAGGGGGTGGGGCCAGCCTACCAACCTCCTGCAGCCCCTCCCCCCACCCAGCCCCACCCACGATTGGCCTCCCCACCCCATCAGGGGCAGGGCCCGCTGGCCAACCACCCATGTCCCTCCCCCAGGCTGTTGGCCCCTGATTGGCACCCTCCCACTCCTTTTGGGGGTGGGCCCAGCTGGCCCACTGCCCACAACCCCTCCGCATGGCTTGCCTCACCCATAATGGGCCCCCCAATTCCAATCGGGGGCAAGGCCCACCGACCAGTCACCTGAGACCCCTTCCCTGAGCTGGCCCAGCCCTGATCAAGCCCTGATTGGGGCGGACCATCAGGCCCACCTCCCGCCATCTCCTTCTCCTGACAGGCCCAGCCCCGATCCATCCCGATTGGGGCAGGGCCAACCGGACCCCACCCGTGCACGAATTTGTGCACTGAGCCTCCAGTGTGTGTGTGTGTTTGTGTGTGTGTGTGTGTGTGTGTGTAATAAAAGTGTAATATTCTAATTAGACTGGACAGCTGAACAACCTTCTGGATGAAGCAGGGGCTTTGAGCCCCTTGCACGAATTTCAAGCATCGGGTCTCTAATATATATATCTACCTTACAGGAGATAACAACTAGAATTTCTCAGAATGTATGATAGTCATAAAGCCTCACAATAATGAAATATAACAAATCCAAAGAAAAATAAATAAACATAAATACACATCTATATCCATTTTTGTAAAACAGCAAAATCCCTACTATTGCATATCCCATATACTATATATATGTAAAATACTATACAGTATTAGGGATCCTTCAGTTTCACAAAAATGGTTATAAAAGAAATTCTCAGCTAGTATCCCTTATGATTAGATATGTCTGACCTCATTTTATTTCTCATGTTTATTTCTCTAAAAATTTTAATTTTTTTATCTTTCTGTTTTGCTTTCAAATATGTCTTTCAGTTCATCAATTCTCCTTCAACTTAGTCTAATTTGTTTCAAACTGTATATAGAGCTTTGAGAATCCTTCCTTTATGTGAGAGTCTTTGGTCTGATTTTGAACATGTACAGACCAGACCTTCCACTTTGTGATGAAAGGTAAAACTACAGCCAAGGCCTCAAAGCATCAGCAGATACACCATGTACACCAACCACACTCAGTCACCTTTCTGGATCCTTCTAACCTTTCTTGACCCACTGGGAATTTCTTTCTTGCAAATGAGCTATGCTTTCAAAACATTAAAAGTGTTTATTCAGCATTTTAGGCATTCTGTAGTAGTAAGGTTACTAAGCATATTTCTTTTATAAAATAATACTGGAAATGGAAGTTTCTGCCCAAATCCAGTGAGGTAAAATTTAACATGGAAAAATGCAAAATCTTGTACAAAGTTCTATTTAAGGCTAAGAGTTTGTGCTGGTGTTACTGTCAGTATGAATCAGCAGTATGATGCAGTTACGGGGGGGAAGAGGGGGAATCACCTAGTAAAAGCTAGTGTGATTTTGGGTTGCATAATACAGATATAGAATCTATCACAGGGGAAGTGGTCATCCTACCATATTGTAGTTGATCGGACCTCACTGGTGTGAGCCACACTCTGAGGAAGACATCACAAGCCTGAGAAGTGTCTGCTGGGAGCAGTCAGAAAGGCATGACGGCTGCCTGCACTTATTTGAAGGGCTCTCTGGTGACCAGTGTTTGTAGGTGTCCCAGGTTACAGAGCTGGGATCAATGATTAACTTACATGGAAATAAATTTGGTTTAACATTGAAAACTTTACAACCAGAAGAGCTTCCTTTGCAAATGCAATGGTCTGCCTTTGAAGATCACGACTCTTTCTCATCAGAGCCATTTAAATTGAATATGAGCAGCCTGTTGTCAGGGATAGTGTAGAGAGAATTCAAGCATCAGAAGGCATGGTGGGATCTTCTAAAGTTTCAAAAGTTGCTGATTACATGACCCATCAGAGGTGAAAATGGCACAGTGATAAAGTCCTTGTGTTCTCTTCCCGACTCTGCCGTTGACTATGAGCCCGCGGGCTAGCTAGCCAATCTTCCATCCCAATACCTGGTTTTCTTGTGTATCAAATGGAGGGACTTGGATTAGATAAGCTCAAGCAGTTATTACCGTATGTTCTAGTAGTGATTTCTGGTTCCCTCATTCCTTCTGCATTTGCTAATTGGAATTCTTAAGAAACTATTGTCATTTCTCTCAGATTTATTTATTAAATCACATTAGCGTGGACTCATGAATCAAAAAAATATTTTTATTTTGGAGATGAAGAGAGAAGGGGAGAGGTAGAAACATCAGTGATGAGAATCATTGATTGGCCACCTCCTGCATGCCCCCCACTGGGGATTGAGCCTGCAATCTGGGCATGTGCCCTTGACCAGAACTGAACCCAGGACCCTTTATTCTGGTGTGTGTGTGTGTGTGTGTGTGTGTGTGTGTGTGTGTATGTGTGTCCAACACTCTATCCACTGAGCCAAACAAGCTAGGGCTAGACTCATTAAAATCCAAATTATCTTATTATTTGGATTATGATTTAGTATTCATTTTGTCATGCTAATTATCTAAGCTTTGGCCATTAGAAAACCTGGATTCTAATGATACATAGTACAGAAAGTTTGGTGATATGGTTTCAGATTCCACATAGCAATTAACATTTAAGAAATTACCACCTCTTCCCTGCTGGTGTGGCTCTGTGGTTGAGTGCCAACCTATGAACCAGGAGGTTACGGTTTGATTCCTGGTAAGGGCACATGGCTGGGTTGCGGGCTCGATCCCCAGAAGGGATGTGCAGGAAGCAGCCAATCAATGATTCTCTCTCATCATTGATGTTTCTATATCTGTCTTTTTCTCTCCCTTCCTCTCTCTGAAAAAGAAAAAAATATATATATATTAAAAAAAAAGAAAAGAAACTGCTACCTCTTGACCTTGGTGTAGTATCTAGAAAGAAATCCACAATTACCTGAAAAGCTGTTAATATATTCCTTCCTTCTGCAATACTTATCTTTATGGCTAGATTTTCTCCACATGCTTAAACTAAAACAAAATATTGGAGCTGATTAGTGCAGAAACAGATTTGAGAATCCAGCTGTCATCATTAAGCCAAACATGAAAGAATTTGTAAAAATATAAACAATGCTGAGAATCAAGCTTCTAAGCTATTTCTAGATGATAATTTTAGCACAGTGAACTCTGTTTTAACTCACAAATGGTCAAATTTGGTGGTTATCTTTGAAATATGTTCCATCTTTCCCTAAACTAATCATTGTGTTCAAAGGAATGTACAGATGCACAGCAACTTTAATATTAACCTATGTCTGAAAGGCCACCCGATTAGTTCCAAAAACAAACACTATATAGAAGAGCATTATTAGAAATTGCCTTTGACACAGTATCTGGCATATAGTAGACAATCAATACATTTTTGTTGATTGAGTGAGTAGACGTTGACATTTATTGTTCTTTTCCTAAAAATTCAGATTAGCAATGAAATTGAGACTGTGACCGAAGAACCCACAAGACCAGCAGCTGAGCAGGTTGCAGAATTCAGTATACACCTCTCTGGGGAGCAGTACAGGGAAGAACTGCGGGATCCCTCTAGCTTCCGCCACCAGAGCCTCGTGGAAGAGTTTATTGCAGAGGTGAGTGATTTTTGTTTGTTTTTATTCATTTAAAAAAAAATAACCAAGACAGTTTTCTGGGGTAAATTTCCCATATTCACAGCAATGCTTAGAGTTAGCTTTTGGATTCAAGCTTTCTGTCTGCTTTGTTCGGGGGTAATGGCTTTAGCAATTTCTTCAGAAACCTCTGTGAAAAGTTCACTGAAAGACAGATGGGTTATTTCATGGAAGCAAAATTTTCACACATTTGCCATCTAACAAATAAATGCTATTTCCAACATTTGCCGCAAAGCCAAGGAAGAATGTGTCCTGTGAAAAATGAGCATCTTTGAGAAACTACATACAATGCATTGTCTTTCTTTGCGAAGCATTATATTTAATTTCTTTAGTTTTCATACTCAGTTCTACTTTTTTTAAATTGAAAAATTTTGAACGGTTCACACTGTTCAAACGTGGCAAGATATGGTGCCGAGTTCAAAGGACAACACGGCACCCAGTGATAAGGACATGTCCCTCCTATCTCTGTTCCTTGGGGACAGGCATTTAAAAAAATATATTTTATTGATTTTTCACAGAGAGGAAGGGAGAGGGATAGAGAGTTAGAAACATCGATGAGAGAGATACATCGACCAGCTGCCTCCTGCACACCCCATATAGGGGATGTGCCCGCAACCAACGTACATGCCCTTGACCGGAATCGAACCTGGGACCTTTCAATCTGCAGACCGATGCTCTATCCACTGAGCCAAACTGGTTTCGGCGGGGGCAGGCATTTTTAATAAAGGGTTTCTTTAAAAACCTAGGCAGTAGTTCATCTCACAATTCTCCTTTCTGGAAGAATTCTATATAGAACTTGAACTCAAGATTCTCACAGTCAAAAAAGGACCCAACCTGTCCCCTGCATGCCTTTGCTCTCGTGTAGGCAGGCACCGAGTGCCCATCCTCCCTCTCTCCCCAGTAACCGGGCACACCATTCCTTCCTGTTTATTTCTTTTCCATTCCTTCTCGATGGGGTTCTTCTTGGCCACGGTTTCCAATTCCATTACCTCGGACTAATTTCCTTCTCTAGACATAGTGTCTAGATGAGAAATAAAAATATGCACCTCTCAGCCAAACAGCATCATTGCAGCCATCAGACGTGGGGAGTGCAGGCCAGACAGCTCATTTTCCTGGCCGTGCGGCCAAGTTGGGAGGCTGGACGGTATGTGGAAGAAATGTCAGCCAGGCCAGTGGCCACCTCATGTCAGATTGTGTCTTGGATCAACCGTCTAGTTCTCTCTGCCCTTGGGTCAAAGAGCCTTGAATAAGCCTCAGTGTTTGGGTAAACAAATATTCTGAATGGCTGCGCATTTGGGACAGTCTAATAAACACTCTGAAAACCATCTCCCGCAGGGACTTGACGAGGCAGGGAGCTGTTGGCTTGAGGTGGTTGGAAGGTAATGAAGGGCCGTGAAGCAGTTTCTTCTCTGGCCTGTCTCTGCATTCCTGTCCCTTCACTTGGAACAAAACACCTACCGACAGGCCATCTGAGTGTGGGGTGGTGGGGTCTGGGGCGAGGCTCTGAAAGGTCTTGTCACCATGTTTACTACAAGCTGAAGGGGGCCCTCATCGCTCTCCTGCAGGCACAGCCACACGATTGCTCCTTCCCTATGATTGCTTGGGCAGTATGGGAAGACACACGGGAAAAACAAAGCCTGCTTGGGGGATTGAGGAAAAAAGTATATTATTTTTTTCATGAGAAGAGTAAGATAAGCTTGGGACCATGCCAAATGTGACATTGGCGGGAAGGTCAGGCGTGAAGACAGATACAGTATCAACCTGGGGTCCGTGCACACCGCTCTGAGTCCTGTAAGCTGCAGGATGTCTGGTTGCTCACAGAAGCCATGTGGGTAACAGCATCCAGCTCTAGATGAGGCCCAGGAGGACTAGTATCTGGTTCCTGGTCATTTCAGCCCCTGGAGTAGAAGGGGAAATCAGGTCTCCTTCCTTTCAAAGTGCTCCTCCCTTTGTGGCACACAGAGTCCCCTCATTTTAATTCAGGTAAGACCTTGAGGGGAGCTGCCCAGTTTCCCAAGTCCCGGTCCTGGCTCTAAACCATATTTATTCTGAGTCAGGGGAAAGAGGAAGAGGCATGCAATTCAACGGGAAGAATATGGGATTTGGTGTTGGAGAGATGTGGGGCTGAATACGTTCTGACTCAGTCACTCACCAAATGCATGACCCCCGGTGAGTTAGTTGACATCTCCGCGTCTCAGTGTCCTCATCTATACAACTGGGAAAATATGTATCTCTTGGGATGGTTGCAAGAATTAGAAGTAATATTGCAAAATCAGGCATATCGCAGTCACTCAATACATTGTACCTATTATTAATCTGATGTTAGTCAAGTAAAATGACTTCTTACCCCTGAACACCTGTACACTGACTAACTGGATATGATGAATTAAAATATCTGTATGTGTTTATACTCAAGAGATGGCAAAGCCCCCCAAAGGTGGGTTTAGTAATCATAAAAATATGCAATTAAATAGCATTTTGAAGTTAATAGAGTACTTTCAGCTACATTTCTTTTAATCTTACAGAAACCGATGTGGTTGGTGAGCAGGGCAGTGTTAATTCTATAAAATAGACACGCATGGCCACTTTGCCAGCTAGAGCAGCTGAGACTTACCCCCCAGTCTAAGGTTCCCCATTCACACCCCATCCTCTAAGAATTATAGCACTTCTCTTTCTTCTCAGAGAATAAAACAAGACAAATTATTATTATCATGTATTTGGATTCTGTATTCTTAAGGCATGAGCATCTTCAGTGAACCAAGATTTGTTTGTTTGTTTGTTCGTTTCTTTCAACTACAGTTGGCATTCAATGTTATATTAATTTCAGCTGTGCAGCATAATGGTTAGACATTTATATAACTTACAAAGTGATTACTTGATGAGTCTAGTAACCATATATAGTTATTGCAGTATTATTGACTATATTCCCTATACTGTCTGCCCTGTGATTATTCTGTAACTACCAAGCTGAACTTGAACTCAGGTTCTAAATCCCTTCACCTTTTTCACCTAGCCACCCAACCCCTCTCTCATCTGGCAACCATCTGTTTGTTCTCCGTACCTATGAGTTTGTATGTTTTGTTTTGAACCAAAACTTTAAAAAAATTTTCACTCTCCTGATTATACAAAGACTTGGTTTTAAATTCAGAAGCCTAAAGATCCACTAACAGTTCCCAAGTTCACTGACAACTTCCTTCTCTTCCTCTGGTGTGAGCCCCACAGTGACTTGCCTGGTCAGATTTCATCTTCTGAAATGGGGTGGGTTCAATGTTAAATTTTGTTGAATAGTTGGTATTTGTGTATAACTTGATTATTTTTAGCTATTTAGTCCAGTCTAGAATTCTTTTTCCTGCTCCAGTCACTAAGCAGGTATTACATGATGGAATACTACAGATGTGGTAATAAAACTGGTTCCCACAAATGTGATGCTCATAAATTGATCTTCGGTCCAGTTAACTTACTGGTCACTGCGGCAACCATGAACAAGGCCTCCCTTCTGGAGGGTCAGCCCAGACCTACAGATTTCTTCCTAATGTTGACTGTGTCTACAGTTCCCTTGGGTTGTAGGAACAAGAAGCAGACACCACCAAGCACTCTTGGAAACCAACGCCTGACTGTCACTCTGTGCTGTAGCCAGACTCCCAATCCAAACGCGACATTTAGAAATGCTGTTACAGCTTCTTGGGCAACTAATGTTCTTTTTCACGTTTCATCACATAGGCCCGTGGTTGGCAAACTGTGGCTCGTGAGCCACATGTGGCTCTTTGGCCCCTTGGGTGTGGCTTTTCTGCAAAATACCAGGGCCTGGGCGAGTCTATGTTGAAGAAGTGGCATTAGAAGAAGTTTAAGTTTAAAAAATTTGGCTCTCAAAAGAAATTTCAATCATTGTACTATTGATATTTGGCTCTGTTGACTAATGAGTTTGCCAACCACTGACATAGGGGAAAGAACAATGCTTGCCAATAAGAAGTAAGCTCTTTAAAATTTGAACAAAAATTAATATTAAAGCACGTTAGAACCTTAAAACACAAAATGAAAAAAAAACCCATCTATCAGTGTTGTGGTAAATCCCACTTTCTAACATTGTAACTATTATTTTCTTAGTAACTTTCTTGTCCATGTGTATCTGTGTATGCTTCAAGCTTCTAATAGTAGAAGGTGCACATTACATTCTACTCCTAAAAGCATTATTTTCTGCATCCTTTTTCACATTTCTACCTATTTATACATTTTATTTTTAACAGATTGAAAATGCATTTACTGGGTTACCTGGCTATAAGGACATCCGTGTACTTGGCTTCAGGTAAATAGACTTACTCTAAAAACGCACTCTCTATTTTAAGTGGAATATCCTTTTGTGTATGTTATTTACACAACAATAACTTAAAATTATTCAAATGCTGTAATTCAGTGATATTTCTAGCAAATTTATATTTCTATTGTTAGCATTTCAGGTGAGGAAACTGAGTTACAAAAAGGCAAATTCATGTACTCAAGGGACATACTACTAGATTGGTAGCGGGGCCAGGGTAAGCCATGTCCCTGCTTGCTGCTGACACGTTGCTCTGCTTTTATTTGGCACCGAGGGGAGGCTGAAGTCAGGCTAGATGTGACCCCCAGGTCCGACGAAAGCTTGTCCATGTTTCAGTGAGGTGAGTGGTGTCCTGGTCGGAGGCCACTCTGCACTCACCTGCTTTTCACACAGAGCAGCTGTGAGCACGTAAGACACCTCTTCCCTGATGCCTGTGACGTTTACTGAGTGAGTACTTAGTATTAGGCACTTCATCTCCTGAGCCCACTTAACCTCCACCCCCCTCAGAATTAATATTATTACAGATACTCATTTCACAGAGCAGCAAACAGGCTTAATGGGAGGAAGTCTCAGCCCAGAGTCAGAGGACCTGTGAATGAACTTGTAAACCTGAAGCAAAGCGTTTGTCGAACCTCCATTCCAGATCCAGCCCTTGGGAGGTCGGAGCGCCTGGGAGACTGCTGTGCCCCTCAGTGGGTGCTGTGGGCTCCGAGCAGGGGCACCGAGTCAGCTCACGGCATCATTAATGACATCATCATCTTCACTGTGGCATACTCTTGTCATAGCTTCTGGGTTTACCAGAAATTACAGCAATCGTAACATTTACAGTGTAGCAGGCACTGTATCTATTGTATATTAATCCATTTAATCCCAACAGCCATGCTGTGAGATAGTTATTATCCCCCTTGTTTCTGCTATGTAACACAGAGCCCAGGGAATTGAAATGGTTTACCTTAGGACACTCAGCTAGTTATTGGTGCAGAGCAGAGAGCAAGCATGATAAATGGACCCTCCACCTACCCTCACACCACAGCCAGTGTCTGCACTTCCACCTTGGCGCTTGGTCACAGAATACCACCTCCAGCGGTGACTAAAGCTCCCCTGAGGACCCTTCTTCACTTGGCAGCACAGGGAAGGCAAACGTAGCCTTGGAAGTCAACTCTCCTGGGTTCCAGCCCTTTCTCTGGCACTTCTGGCGGATGGTTTTGGTAAATTACCAAGGCTTAACTTCTTATTTATATAAAAAAAGACAATGTACGTATTAATCCTGCTTTATTAAAGAACACTTTTGAAATATTTTAAATGATTTAGCATTTTTGTCCTTCGGCTTCTTGACCTGTAAAATGGGGATACTGATGATTCTTAATAAATCTTAATGAAGATTAATTGATTAACCTTTGCAAAATGCCTAGCATAGTTCCTGGCACATGGGAAATTCTTAATAGAACTTAATACTGTCTGTTATATAAAAATCAATAGATATGAAAGGCAATATCCTATAAGTCAGTCAGTCCTGACCTTCCCTAACCTCTTAGCACCTTACTGTATATTGCCTGATTTGGTTTTCATTGATTTCAATACTACATAGCACATTGCATCTCCCCAAAAGTGTTCCTCGTTTTGTTAATGCCAACTACTGGAGTCCCCTGCTGATCTACTGAAAAAGTTTATTTATAAAGAGATAACCTTACATGAGTTCTTTTAAAAGTTTTTAAATAAAGTTTCAAGATAGTAAAGAGTTTTAAAAGAGAACACTTCCTCCACCTTTGCTCACTTCCTTCAGTCCACAGGAATTTGTCAGCTTCTGATACTATGCAAGCATTTTCATTTAAAGAAACATTTCAGAGGAAATATATTAAGAAGTTGTACTTTGATGAATGATATGATAGATATAATTTCAAAATTCTGCTTAACACTTTTTTTTTTCTCTTCCAGGCCCCCCAATGAAAATGGCAGGTAGGGTACTTTTTAGTACTTTTGTACTTTCAAATGAATGAGGAGTTAGTTTATAAAATGTAGTAGACCTAGGTTTAAGGGAACATAGCTCAATTCTTTTATGACTTCCAATATCAGTGTCCATCTCTGAACAGATCAGGGGTTGACAAAATGTTCTGTGAAGGCTTAGATAGTAAATATTGGGTCGGCAACTACGTAATTGCGGATTTTTTAAAGAAAATCAAAGACAATTTTTTCATGGAACTAAATAACTTTATTCTGTAATGTATTGCCCATTTTGATCAATGACCTTTTGCCATCTTTCAGGCAGCATCATAATCCCACGTTCAAAAAACTTCTGGTTTTTATTAGCAAAAAACTGAATCAGGTACGATTTGACATCATCATCATTATTGAAATTTTTACCATTCAAGGAGTTTTGTAAAGATCGAAACAAAAAGTAATCAGATGGTGCAAGGTCAGGACTATATGGTGGATGTGGCAAAACATCCCAACCAAGCTCCATTAATTTTTGCCGAGTGACCAAAGATGTGTGTGGCCTTGCATTGTCATGATGGAATACAACACCTTTTCGATTTGTCAATTCGGGCCGCTTTTCTTCAACTGCATTGTTTAATTTCGTTAGTTGTTCAATGTAGACATCAGAATTGATCGTTCGGTTGGGTGGTAAGAGTTCAAAGTAGACAATTCCTTTGTAATCCCACCAAACTGATAACAAAACCTTCTTTTGATGAATATCAGCTTTTGATGTTGTTTGAGTTGGTTCACCTGGCCTGCTCCACGATCTTTTCTGCTTGATATTGTTGTAAACAACCCATTTTTCATCGCCAGTTATCAGTCGTTTTAAAAATGGATCATTTTCATTACGTTTCTTTAGCAAATCGCAGCTGCTAATGCGTTGCGTTAACTGTGATTCTTTCAGTTCGTGAGGAACCCATGTATCGAGTTTTTGAACATAGCCAAGTTGTTTTAAGTGATTTTCAATGCATGTATGTGATACATGAAGCTTCTCTGCAATCTCACGTGTTGTACTGTGACAGTCCGAATTGATTATTGCTTTGATTAGGGCGTCATCAACTTGAACTGGACGACCAGAGCGTTTTTCATCTTTGAGTGAAAAATCACCAGAACGAAATTTGGCAAACCAATTTTGACACTGCCGTTCTTTTAAGGCTTCGTCACCATAAACAGCACATAACTTTTTATGAGCTTGCGATGCGTTTTTCCCTTTGCGGAAATAAAAAAGCAAAATATGACGAAAATGTTCCTTTTGATTTTCCATTTTTCAACGAACGCCAAACGAAAACTACAAAACAGATCAAAAAACTTTTTTTTTTTACTGATTAACAGCTGAATAGCCAACTATCAAATAACAAAATGTGTTTTACATTTGTACTACGTCTGCAAACCTAAAAATTCAACTGAAGCCATATATGTGTGAAATCCGCAATTACTTAGTTGCCGACCCAATATTTTAAACTTTTTTAAGGCCATATGGTCTCCATTGGCAGCTACTCATCTCTGATACTATCAGATGAACGTAGATATAGGTGATAAGTTGAAAACAAATAAGTGTGGCTTTGTTTTAATATATCCTAATTTATGGACACTGAAATATAAATTCCATATAATTTTCACGTGTCACAAAACATTGGTCTTCTGATTTTCTTCAACCATTAAAAAACATAAAATCCGTTAATTCAGTGACAGTAAGCTGAATTCAGCTTGCAGGCAGTAGTTTACGGACCTCTGTTTTAGACTGAATACTGACAAGTACTTTTAAATAGAGGGAAGCACTAGCTGGGTTGCTCAGTGGTTAGAGTGTTGGCCTCAAACTGAAGGGTCTTGGGTTTGATTCCTGGTTGCAGGTTCCCCTGCCCCAGGAAGGGTGCAAATGGGAGGCAACCAAGTGATGTCTCAGGGAGACAAATTGATTTGCCATGTGTTACGTGCCTGTATGTCTGATATTTTGACTAAGGTAATCAGAATGTGGGTTTCTGTACTGAGTACCTAGTATGTGTAAACTGCTCTTGTTATAGGCACATTTGTTGATAGTCTATACTCAACCAAAATGTTTGTTTGTGGGTGATTAGGATGTAAAACAACCCAAGCTTAGATGTTACCCAGTGATCAAAAGAATGGTTGCTGAGTGCTAAGTTCTCTAGGAATACAGACAACAATTCAATATGAAGCCATTAGATTTTGTGACAAAATTGTTAACTTAAGTGCAGCTCCCAAAATTGTTAAGTGTTAGGTAAGTAATGACATTTATTCGTAACTGTTCAGTATACTTTTATTCTGAGCGGCACATGAGTAAAAGTGTGGTGCAGAAGAAGTCTATTTATATGATATATAATCTCTCTTTATAAACATGTATAAATGTTACATGTTATAAATATAACATAACAAAATATAAACATAAACATTTATATACAAATGAACTTTCTATTTGCTTTGTACCCCTTTCAAGATGCACACATTATTTTAAGTTTGTAGGAATCATTTGAAGTGAATCAACACCATATTTGCCTGGTGTACACATTTTAAACATTCAGCTCCAGACTTCGTAAGGGTGCGTCTTCTTCCTAATAGAAGTTTTATAAAAGAAAGGATATCTGAGGTTCTCTGAAAAATCTTTATTTTGGTCACCTTAATGAGATGTGATTGCATTATTTTTTTCTATTTAAAATCTGCACATGGCTAAGAGCCAACAAGGGCATTTGAGGTGAGAGAATGAGAAAGGGAAAATTTCACCTCCATATGATTCAAATCTCTAGAAATAGCTGTCAGACAGAGAAACGTTCTCTTGGAAGCAGCTGCTTCCGCTAGTTTGGAAGATGAAGGATGATGGTGGTTGGTTCCTTGGAGCTGTTAGCGCAGAGAGCCAGCGGAGCTTTCTCCGTCAGATCCTGTCCTGGGCTCCCTTTCTTTCCTCCCCTCATCATGGGAAAGAGCTGTGCTCCCTTTGCTGGGCCGGGTCATAGGAAAGTTCTCGGCTCTGAGAATAGATGGTTTCCTGATAGCTCAAGGCTCTCTTTGAGTTCTCTTTCCAGGATAAGAACATGCAAATAAATGGTAGCATCTCTCTGAGGATTTTATCTTCTTTAATGAATTTATCCTCACATGGTAGATTATAATAGAAATGTTCTCTTTAGATGTTCAAAGGAAACATTGGGGAAACAAGTTTTATTTTGCCAATACACAGTTAGGCTAGTAATGTAACCCAGACTGCCTGATTTGCGTAGATTTCCAATATGATATTTATAAGTCATGCAAGGCACATCGTAGGCTCCTAGTAAAGGCTTGCCTCTCCTTCTCCAATTTTCTTATAGCCCAGAAACCAACTCCAGTGCTAACTGGTTCAGCCTTTTCTATCTTCTCCAATTCCCCTCATCACTGTTTCCTGTCTTAGAGCCATGTTAACATGTTAATGTGTGTGCAAAGACCCCAAAGAGAAGCTCACCTTTCTGGAGATATGGGCGTGGTCCATTCCACCGAGCTGGGCAGAGCGTGCACATTCTCACAGTGCTGTGCTCTGGCTGTGAGCAGTGCCCCCAGGTGATTACTTACAAGACTCACTTGTATGAAGATAATACATATGTTCTTTAGGGTAAACAATTAATCCTATATAGAGACAAAAATCCTTTGGATTAACTCAGGAGTGCCACATACTGTCACTTATTTGCTTGCTAGTATATTAGTGAATACAACTGACCATTTGTTTTTTCATTACTTTCAAATATATCTATTGAACTATTATACTATGAGCCAGGCATTGTGCTAGACGCTTGGGACATATATGTATGGTGTAGTGAGTTCTGACCAGTAGGTGTCCCTCTTACTGTTTTATTCCACCCTGGAGCCATCCTTTGGTTATTTTAATATATTTTACTGAATTTATTTCTTCACAGAAAAGGTCAGGAATTACCCTTGAATCAACATATTCTGACATGGGGAGAATTAAGTGGTTTAGGGACGCTGATGACAGACAGATGTCTCACCACTTGGAGCATCAGGTTACCATGTTAAAGTGCCCAACCCACCTCATTGGAAGTGGCAGCTTATTGGGAGGAAGCCTCACTGAAGTTACTCTGAGGGAGACAGGAAGTTCAAAGAGGCCTGGCTGCTTGAATGGCAGGGAAGGATGTCACCGTCATGGCGTCCCCTCAGACCCAGGATGTGATCTGCAGTAAGCGGGCCCAAGACAGGTCCTGCACTGCCTGGGCTCCAAAGGAGAGGTCCCTTAAGACCAATTCATGCTTCCCTAACCACAAAACACACTGTGTTCTCTAGGATGCCAGCGGATGTATTGAAAGTGAGAAACATATCTGCCAGTTGACCAATTATTGCATTGGCTGGCTCATGCATTCTTTTCCTAAAGGAACATATGCAGGCAGTTATAATCAAAAGTTTCCCTTGCAAACTTATAATCAGAAAGAGGAAGTTGGTGATTTTAGTGGCCAGTATCATCAAGCCATGCCAGCCTCGTGTAGCTGTCTGTAGCTGAGGGATCTGCTGAGGAAGACACAATACACTGGTGAGAAGAATTCCACTCAATAGTAACACAAGTTAATTGACTAATTCCCTTTTTCCTAGACTTCATGAGATCATTGTCATTATGTTGATACTTTTTCTTTAGATATGTGAATACCTCGATTAGGACACAGTTCTCTTTTTATATTCAGACTGGAGGCCCATTGCACGAGATTTCGGCACGGGGGGGGGGGTGGGGTGCCGAGGGGTGTCCCTCAGCCTGGCCTGTGCCCTCCCACAGTCCAGGGGTCTTGCAGTTTGGGACCCCTTGCTCCTTACTGCCTGTCTGTAGTGGAGGCGGGAGAGGCTCCCACTACTGCCACCACCACTGTTCTCGCCAGCTGTGAGCCCAGCTTCTAGTGACCACTAGGGGGAAGCTCATGTGTTGAGCATCTGTCCCCTGATGGTCAGTGTGCATCATAGGGATTGGTCGTTCCGCCGTTCGGTCTATTTGCATATTAGCCTTTTATTATATAGGTTGAGTATAGATTTCTGCTCATTTAGTAGGCCCTGGGTATCCCTCTTTCCCAGGCACCAACCTGAACATTGGGGATAGAAATTCAAGAAGAGACTGAAAGGCAGTCACTATAAACAAAATCTTTATACAGAACAACAAAGGCTATAATCAAGGAACATATAAGGATATATAAGTAAGTTAAGAGGAAAGACTTAATTTATTTTTGTGCCTTGATTTGGGAGTCATTTTGCTTCTACAGAATGGGGATGGAAACCATGCTTCTTGAGACTCTCCCTCTAGCCTAATGCTTGTTCTCCCGGGTTTATTGTCTTTCCTGTGTGCTTCCTTAGCAGGGCCTCATCTGTTCTCTCTTTTCATTCATAGTGGCACAGTTGTCCACTATGCAGTTACTTTCAATGGAGAGGCCATCAGCAATACCACCTGGGACCTAATCAGCCTTCACTCCAACAAGGTGGAAAACCATGGTCTTGTGGAATTGGATGATAAGCCCACTGCTGTTTATACAATCAGTAACTTCAGAGATTATATTGCTGAGACACTGCATCACAATTTTTTGCTGGGCAACTCCTCTTTGAATCCAGATCCTGGCTCCCTGCAGCTCATCAATGGTGAGTTTGCTATCAATCATGAAGTCCTCTATAGTTTCAGTTCCTTTTCTAGTATGCTCTGGTGAAATGAATTTCCCTAAGTATACATGGTTCTGAGCATTCTCTAGACTGAATGAGACAGAAGCCATCCTGGGCTGATTGGAATGTTAGCCATGCACTACTTGGGATAGATTAATCAAGGGTTCTCTGGAATATTTGCAGATGGGAAAGCCACTCTTTGTGGAGAACAGCATGATTTTTAGAAATAGTTTAGAGATATGGAAGAAACTATAAGAAAAAGTTAAGAAGTACCTGGATGTGTGAATTGAAATAGGCTGTAGTGCTTCTCTGGCAACCCAAGACATCAACTTTCCAGAGGCAGATCAGCTGGAAAGGCTTAAAAGCCAGAGAGCAGAATAGAAGAAGCAGATCAGGGAAGCTGCTGGAAGACCTTGGGAAAGAAGAACCGAGACTGGGTGCTGGGCAGGATCCCAGAGAATCCAACACTAAGTTTGGGTTCAGGCGGCTGTATAGCTCCAGTTATGACCCCAAATTAACAGGTGGATCTGAGGTCAGCCAGAAGGGCCTGACTACTGTGAGTTTGTTTGTTTATTTATTTACTAGAGGCCTGATGCACGAAGATTCTTGCAAGAATGGGCCTTCCTTCCCTGGCTGCTGGCACCACTTTCACTCTGGCCAGAGTCACCTTTCCACCTTCCCATGCTGCCTCAAGTGGCTGGGGTGGTGTGAAATACCTGCATATAAAATTAACCCTCCAGCTTTGTTGGGTTAATTTGCATACTCACTTCTGATTGGCTGGTGGGCATCATGAAGTTACAGTCAATTAGCACATTACTATTTTATTAGTGTAGATTTAATCCTCCCTAGAGGATATTTTCCCCCCCACTGATTTTTAGAGAGAGTGGAAGGAAGGGGGAGAGACACAGAGAGAAACATCTATGTGAGAGAGACATCAATTGGTTGCCTCCTGTATATGCCCTGCTTGAGCAAGGGATCAAGTCTGCAGCCCTGGTATGACTGGAATTGAACCTGTCACCCTTCAGTCTGTGGGATGGTGCTCTGACCTCTGAAAAACTGGCTAGGGTGGACTATTATACTCTGAGTTTGGGTGACCTAGTCAGGGGTGCCTAGTCAACCCGGGACTAGAGCTTGCTGAGTTCAGAGTTTAACTCATCAGGGACGTGGTGCCCTGTTAACTTACTTGCTACTTCATTTTACTTCTCCACAGTTTCTTCACTTGGTTGTTGAACTTTTAAAATGTCCAGAGTATATTTTACTGAGGCGACCTCATAGGAGAAGTACCCGCTGCTAAGGAGGAAAATCCACAAGTGAGAGGCCATACTAATGATGATGCATGCTTATAGCCTCTCCAACTGCTACATAACCTGAGGGGAAAAGAAGCCCCTATATTTTTAGGCAGCTACCACCTAGGCCTCGTGTGTGTGTGTGTGTGTGTGTGTGTGTGTGTGTGTATGTGTGTCCCTCATGTACTTATCCCTGACATATCAAATACTTCCACAGGAGAAACTTAGCCTTATTAATATTTATAGCCTTCACTTCATCAAAGTCTGTAATAACTAGTAAGGATTCAGAAAATTTTTGTTGAATTAAATTATTCAATCTACTCTCTTTAATATTGGTATAGTGATAAACTCTCTGGTGTCCTAGTCCATTTTTCAAAGGTACTTTCTGCCAGAAAGGAAATGTTTTGCATAATTTTCTTCTTTGCTAGCATCAATCAAATGAGTTGGAGCTTCAGTTCAACTTTCTTATTAAAATGGGGGAAAAAATCAATTTTAAAAACAACTGCTACATAGGAATTTTGAAAAGAGTAAAAAATGCTTCAAAAAGAAAAGGAAATAATAAAAGAGTGTCCTAAATGTAATAATGGGAAGAACATTTATTTTATGCTGGAGTCTCATAATTCAGACAGATGATGCTAATGTAAGTAAAATATCTAAATAAAGAAGCAAGCATTTTCTAAGAAAGTCTCCCTTATCTGTTCTGCCCAAATCTAAATTGTAGAAAGTAAGAACTTGGTATTCAGTTGTCCCTAAACCTCGAGTATATTAGTGTCTCTAAAATTTTTGTCCCTAAAATAAATTAAAAATGTTCTTGACTATTGCTTTTCTCTAGTGAGAGGAGTCTTTCTACCCCCCACCGAAGACCTGGTGTGGAACCCCCAAAGTGCAAGTCTCCCGGCAACCCCACCGTCCATCCTTGTAAGTGTATTCCTGCATTGTAGGCCTAGAACCAGGCCCTCAAGCTTCTTCTCTCCTTTGCACACTCTCCTGCTTGCTTTGGCATCACAGATTTCCCAAGTATTCTCTTACATCATCCCTGGGACATTATTCTTAGTTGTCAGCTCCTGAGTCCCAAGTATTGGGTTAGAGAATGTAGACTTTCTGTAGCGCTTAAGGAAAACCCACACTTTTGGCATTGGGAAGAAAACTTATTTATGGTTCATATTGTTTGACTATAATTAAGCTCTAATGCCCACTGAGTTGCTCTCTAAAAGTTACACAGAAATAATTTTTATAGTCAAGACTATAAAGTGATGTACGTGGGTATAGAGTACCGATATTTTGTTCCAAGGGTTGGATTGAAGAAATAGTTTAGACTCCACAACGTATAGAGCAATATGTGCATGGAAAGGAGAGAAGGAAGAGTAAAAATATTGGCCAGCTGACAAGTGACAGGGACTCTCAATCAGGCATCCTTTTAATGTGGGCTAACAGCAGCAGGATTTGTACAGAAATAGCACCTAATGAACGTGCCTTTTTGTTCTTACCACTCAATGCCCCTGGGCATGCCTCTACCCTCTCTAAGCCTCCCCTTACCACTTACAGGGTGGCATCCAGGATAAAAGCAATGGCTTCCTCAGATGCAATGGAAACAACCATGACAACAGTCCAATCACAACAGCACTAGGGACTCACCTGTCTAGAATGAACACAGGGTCTTTTCTTTTTTGGTTAATCCTCATCCACAGATATTTTTTTCACGGATTTGTAGAGTGGAAGGGAGGGAAGGAAGAGGAGAGAGAGAGAGGAAGAGAGGGGGGAGGGGAAACATAGATGTGAGAAAGATACATTGATTGGTTGACTGGGGCAGATCAAACCTACAACCCACGCACATGCCCTTGACCCGGATTTGAACCCAACACCCTTCGGTGCATAGGCTGACTCTCAAATCACTGGGCACACAAGCCAGAGTAAGCTCATGATCTTTTGTTATCACACAGACACAGGAGGGAAATGCCCTTTCCTGGGCATTGGCATCAGATATTACATTCACTTGGTGTTTATTTATTCATTTGTTCATTCTTTCAAATTTGTTTATTTTGTGCTTTTAATGTGTCAAGTGCTGAGAAAACTGAGATGAATAAGGTGTGGCCTTGCCTTCAGGAAGTTTCCAGTCTGGCAGAGGTAGAGAGACTTCTACACAAATAAAGTGACTTTATCCTGGAAGTCCCTCCAGGTGCAGTGGCGGGGAGTGGTGAGTCACTGTGAGCATGGTACATGAGTCTTTGTTTCTGCTAATCACATCCATCTTGAGCTTCTCTAAACACAGGAGATCTGCACTGATATTTCAGACTAGAGGTCTGGTGCATGAAATTCGTGTACTGGGGGGTGAGGTCCTCAGCCCAGCCTGCACCCTTTTGTACGAGGATGTCCACCTGCTGGGATCCCTCTCACAGTCCGGGACCCCTCACTTCTTACCACTCACCTGCCCCAGAGGCAGGAGAGGCTTCCACTACAGTCACTGTGCTCCCCAGCAGTGAGCCTGGCTTCGGGCTGAGGGGCACTCCCCGTGTGGGAGCACACTGACCACTAGGGGGCAGCTCCTGCGTTGAGCATCTGCCCTCTGGTGATCAGTGTGCTTCATAGCGACTGGTTGTTCCACCATTCAGTCGATTTACATATTAGGGTTTTATTATATAAGATAGTATAAACACAAGAACTTCTGTATAAGCCAGGGGTTGCAAATCAGAGATCAGCTGCTTCATTCAGATATAGGCATGCACTTTGGGACAAAACAAACAAACAGACTGAAAAGCAAACCACACACCCAAAATTTAAAAAAATCAGGAGATTTTTGCATAGAAATGCAGATGTCTAACTTTTTTTTTTTTTTTTTTTTAAAGGCCAGGAATATCTGGTATTGTTAATTTCATATTTCCCTGTGGTAGAAAGTGGCTAGAGGTTGACTGGAAGGGACTGCCCCTTTAATGATGGCAGCACTGACTACCGGGCTTATTTGGGTTACCTGGCATATGGCTCAATTTGCATTTACATCAACTCTTAGTATTTTTTTAAAAAAATATATTTTATTGATTTTTTACAGAGAGGAAGAGAGAGGGATAGAGAGTTAGAAACATTGATGAGAGAGAATCATCGATCAGCTGCCTCTTGCACACCGCTCACTGGAGATGTGCCCGCAACCAAGGTACATGCCCTTGACTGGAATCGAACCCTGGGACCTTTCAGTCCACAGGTCGACGCTCTATCCACTGAGCCAAAGGTTTCAGCAACCCTTAGTTTTTTGAATAGTGATAATTGTAGGTTATTCATTAACAATTTGAGGAAAAAGTATTAATAGATGATAATAAAACATGAAAAAAATTAGAAATGTCTGGTTATTGCTTCTTTTTTTTTCTGGTTTTCTCTTTGGCAAACTGTCATTGAAATTTTAAATTTAATCATTTATTTATTTATTTATTTATTTATTTATTTATACCAAATTTGACTTTTGAAATTATTTTAAAGGTAAGAGTGTTGGGATATTGAATTTGATATGTTTGGCAGCCTGAACTGGAAAATCACTGCACAGTATGCTTTCCATAGCAGTAGCAGGCTTTTCAATTGGCATTAGCAGGAGAGAGACTGGCCAATATAATATTAAAGTTGTTAATATACTACATTGAACTAAAAGACAAATTCATGAGTTGAATTTGTGACTACGGGGGCATTCATCCACATAAAAATAAATGAAGTGCTATTCCTGGCATGGATGTGTTCACCTTTCAAAATGTAGGAGAGAGAGTAATTGCCATGCCATGTTTTTTTTTGGAAAAGGTGATTATTTGGAATAGATAGCCATTCTTCTTTATTTAAAAAGTTGAGTTGTTTACTTCCACATTTTATTACTTGTGACAGCTTTTATTAAAGACGTCATGTATTGTTTTATTTTTAATTTTTATGAGATGAAAAGCCATTTTGCTTATAGGAATCTATATATTGCTTGAGGATTTATTTTTCATTGATAATTCAGCTGCTCTCCTAACATGTGTCAAAGTCATAGGCTCTGTTTGATGAAACTCACTTTCTTGAGTTCAGGTTAAAGGGCTTATCTTACTTGAAATTTTGAAAATGCAGATTTAGAATATGCAAAGATCTAAATATACCTAACTCTGCTGGAAGCATGAGTGACTTTAACACGTCTCTAGATATGATTTTAGATGATTAAGAGGAGAAAAAGTGAATTCCCTGGAATGGTATGACTCTCATCATCTTACCTACTTTTTTGAGAAACAGAACTTGGTATTGAACAAATGGCCTTTTTACTTTTCCCTGAATGCATATATGGCTTTAGATCCCAGAAGAAGAAATGGGGGAGGAAAAAACTTTTCTTTTATATGAACAGTCTTCATGTGCAACATAGCAGACAATTAAATATTAAAAATGGCCTCTCCGCACTCGGTGGTCACCTGTGTCTTACACACCTGTGCGCATGTGCCAACTGGAATGAGAGTGAACCGCCCAGCCAGCTGATTCTAGTTCCTCTTCTGGGAATCCTTTTGCCATCTGGGTAGATGCACTTGTATATATCTCTCTGTGAATGGTCAGAAACAGTGAGCAAAGCATTGGGTTGAGACCTCTAGAAACTGCCAGTCTAGTTCTGGTTTTTTTCTCTATTTTTTGTGACCATAGGCGTTTCACTTTTGTGAAGCTCAGTTCCTTATCTTTAACAGGCAAGAATGGACTACCGTAGATCCTCGGGTTACACTGGAGATCCGTTCCAACCGCACAAGTAACTCGATTTTCGCTGCAAGTCAGAACCCACCTACATAAGCACCTACTCACTGACATGGAGCACATACACAGCAGTAAGAAAGTGAAACAGTGAAAAAATATAACAGAAATATAACAATTCCTGACCTTTACTTATGATAAATAATAATAATAATAATAATAATAATAATAAAAACACACAGAAAGCACATACATACATACGTCGAAATGATGGAACCTTTTTTATTTTTATAAATTAATGGGAGATGGCAACATAACTACAAAACAATGTACGTTGAGTCGGAGGTAACTGAGGATTGCCTGCATGTAATTCTTAAGAGTCCTCCTGGTATAAAACTTGGTACTTTATGTTCATGCATATGCACATGCTCAGGCCCCTTTTCCAACATACTAGTAAGGTGTTTATAAACCAAAGGATGGCCTTGCTCGAGTATAAAGTACCTGAGCCTCTGGCCAGAGAAAAGCTGGTATTGCTGCTTACAGGCAGTCCTCGGGTTGCATCGGACTCCACAAACATCTTTTTGTGGTTACATCGCCATCTCCCATTTATTTATAAAAAACAAACAAACAAGTTCTGTCATTTTGATGTATGTACATATGTGTTTTTTGTTTTTTATTATTTATTTACCACAAGTAAAGGTCAGGAATTGTTATTTTTCTTTTAAATTATTTACTGTTTCACTTCAATACTGCTGTGTATGTGCTCCATGTGAGTGACGTAGGTGGGTTCTGACTTATGGTGAAAATCAAGTTACGTAGTGCCATAGGAACAAATCTCCAACATAACCCAAGGACCTATTGTATTTTGTTTTCTTCCACATTGTGAACTTAAATTTGTTGTCTTTTTATTTATCAGAAATTGAATTCTTACTCTCTCCATCTGGTCATCCTCCTACCCACCAGCTTTATTGAGATATAATCAATACATGATATTGTATAAATTTAAGGTGTACAATATGAAGATTTGATGTTTATTGTGAAATGCTTACCACAATAGGGTTAGTTTACCCCTCCATCACATAATTACTTTCTTTTTTTTGGGGGGTGAGAATATTTAAGATTTACTCTTTAGGCAATTTTCAAGTATATAACACATAACTATAGTCACCAATGTTGTACATTGAATACCCAGAACTTACTCATCTTGTAACTATAAGTTTGTACATATAATTTGACAAGTTTATTGA